GTCTCAAACTCACATTTACTGAAGCAACAACATGCATGCCTATTAATTCTCGTCGACAAGGAAACCGGAAATGGGTCCTTGAGTTTTGATCCAATACGTAGGGTCCCGTTTGTCTGTTTGTTCCTTCGGGTGACGTGGTCCGACCACCTCATGCAAAAAATAAATAAATCTTTAACTGGATACGGAGAAGTTAAGTGTCCAGTGGGCTTTAGAATTGCTCAGCATAGAGAATCCATTGAAACTCAGCCATCACCTGCTTGGGCCACAACAATTGCAAGCTGCCCATGGGTGGAAAGGCTACAATGAATGGTACGGGTGAGGGAATCAATCCAACCATGAAACTTTTTTATTGGTTGAAAGCTTGAACCGATGAGCTCCTCCAACTTTTCTAATGGCGTATTTGTGAACCCACATGCACATCCACGTTTTTTATGTCCAATATTAGAGCCCTTTTCATGATTTCACTCCATTTTTATGTATTGATGAAGAAGAAAATGCTTAATGATGATGGCACCACCTACCAAGCCGCCAAACAAGGATTGATTTGAATATATTCATACTATAATTATATGCATAAGTGATCGAATGAGGGAGGTCATCACATTTCGAATACACTTTGGAATCTTTGGTTTGCTTAAGCTTTTGGCAATTTTCATATAATCTTAATTAAATCAAGTTTCCACATGCTATAGAATATAAAGTAATGGTTAGCCAACATTTTGTTTGGGGGCGATTCTGAACATGCCAGAATCACTTATATATAGAGGAAAGCACATCTCGTGTGCCTCTCTATAAAACAATCACTTAAAATAATTATTGACCTATCTAGAATCACTCCTAAACGAGTCATAGTGGTATCAAAGCAATTATAATCCGGACAACTCAAGCTCTCCTTGATCCAAATTGAAGTCATGAATTATCAAAACTGACCAGGCACATACATGCAACGTTTATTTTTGTTGAATTGAATGATATCTTAGGGCTAAATTAAACCTACGCCTCAAAAACGGCCAACAAAGGCTGCAAAGGAAAAGCATATCAACCCATGTGCAGCTGCCTGGATTGACCTAAGACAAAGTGTTAGGTCGTGGATATTCATAAATTAACAATCAGAATATTGATGGTGATTGGCTAGGTCAAATATATTTATAAGTTCATTTTCAACTATATATGGAGCCGTGGGAGCAGCAACCACATTCCAACTTTTGGAGTTAAAAAAATGTACATGATTTATCTTGCTAGGTTATATATGTTTTTCTAAAGGTGATGAGTGTGCTTGTGCATAACTTAGAAGATGTACGTCAGCTATATACATAAACCATTTATATTTAAAGTCTCCTCTTGGGATTATTATCTGATGAAGGATCAATCAATAACATTGTAAAATCCCTAATCAACTAATTGTCGGCAAATGAACAAAACAACTAACACTCCATATGCTAATTAAAACAAATTTCAATTTTTATTTTTATTTTACTTCCGAAAAACTGATCTTTGAGGGAATTCTAAATCATCGGATCACTGAATAGACTCGAACTATATAATTTTTTTATTTCTTTAAAAGAGACGTAATAAATCGTCTCTATGTTTATATAGCCTAGAGTATAGCAATCAGTTTCTCCTTTCCTTGTGAAAGGATAGTTGTTGGAAAAAGAAAATAACACAAACTATGGGTTTGCTATAAAATAATATCACTGTGCTATGACTTTTCGTATTTTTACTTGCCCTTTTGGCCCTTGATAATCTGAAGAAGACCTTGTGATTTATGACTTATGTACCAAGGCAAGTAGGATCTTTGTTTCCTTCATATTCCTAATAGTAAGGCCATTCATGTAGAAAGCTGAATTTCTTTAGTGCAATGATCGTTCATACCCTAAGAAAGTGGGCAACATGTAGGCGGTTCATTACAAGCACCAAAACGTGTAAAACCCTTTGATTTATTTGCTTCTTGGTATGTTTGATTATATTATCCTTGTGATAGATGTTGCGTTATACATTTCATCATTACACATATATAATTAGTTTCTCTTCTTAGTTAAGGGATAAAGATTGAGAAACACATTAAAGAAGTTGAATTAAAATGTGCTATATTCAGTTCCTGGCTAAGCACTAATAGCATGTTTGTTTACTTGAGGTTGGTGGAATTGATCCGATACTAACACATTTGTATTGGAATTATTTCAATTCTTGACATTTTTCTGTGTTTAACACATGCAATTGACATTCCATGTCTTTACCATATCTTTTGTTTATAATTTCTTCTGGACCGGTCAAAAAGGGTAGGCAAAATTGTAGCAATGGTCCTTGGATTAAGACCAAACTTTACTTTTCGTCCCTCATATTGTTAAATTGTTATCCCCCCCCCCCCCCCCCCCCCCCCCCCCCCCCCCCCCAACAGCGGCACGCGCGGGCCAATACACAAACACATAGCTATATGAAGTGACCAATTTCTCTTAGCATATCAATACACCTGACCAAGAAGCTAGCAAATTCAAAGTAAATAAGAAAACTGAAAACAAGCCATATCCAGATATCAGCAAAATGATAAAAGCCACCCAAGAAGCTAGCAAATCCAAAGTGACCAATCTTAAATAAATATATATATATATATATATTTTAAACCAGATTATTAGCAAAATGATAAAAGAAAAAACTGAAATTGAAATTTCATCACTTGAAATATGAATACCCATCAACCCTCTGCTTCTCTGTTTTGACCAAATCTGGGGTGGAGGATGGGGGCGGGGGGTTCTGGTGGACGAAAAGTAAAGTTTGGTCTTAGTTCAGGGACCATTGCTACAATTTTGCCAAAATGAAATGCTTTATACTAACATGTGTGAAACGGAAAGTAACGCAGCGCAACAATTGATGTCAAGAATTCTCTAGTAATTTCTTCGTGAATAATTTAGCCAATCAATTGTCGCATTGCGTCAGTTTCCATCGAAAAGATATGTATGTCAAAAATTCCTTAGTAATTTCTTAGGAAATAATTTAGCTAATCAATTATCGCACTGCGTCACTTTCCGTCTCACATATGCTAGTATGGTATTCCTTTTTGACCGGTTCCAGAAGAAATCAAACAAAAGACACGGAAAAGGCTTTCCAGATTTCCCTTTCCAAGGAAATTTGTTTAGATTCATTATTGCCACAGCTTTAGAAAGTCAGAAGAGTGAATTTAGGGTTCCCAGGACCAGAAGTAATAAGAAAGATGTTTGGACGGTTTGCTGCTGACATGGTTTGCCGTAAGATAAGGTCTCTTCTGCCCAAAAAATATAGGCACGTACGTGGGAAAGACCGACCAGTGTGGCAGTGACCACTTCCACATTTACTTAATAAACGTATTGTCAAATGTAGAAGAGTCATCAAATCAATAACAAGAGGGTTTTTTTTTTGTATATAAGGTTTTTGAAGAGTGTTGGCCACTATCACTCAATATAAGGTCTTTTGTTATTAGAGTTGACCATTTTTAGAGTTGTGTTTTTCATCCCTTTATCTTGTATTTGGATGTTTTTTTAATGAAATTGCCACCTTACGACAACAAATAAACTAAAATAAAACTCAGTCGTCAATGCATCAATATTGGGGAAGTGTCTCAACATGGCGCCACATGATTGGAGTGAATTCGAAAGTGATCACGTATTAATTTGTAACGAGATCTTTTTTAGCACAAATTACAACACATTAACATGATAATACGTTACACGTGTACAAGACACGCCTTAATTATATTAAAGTAAATCCAATGCAAAAGCTACGTATCATTGACGTTGGAGTTTATAATTCAATTTCACACCCAATTAGAACCTAAGAAAATCACTCAGGTAGATCTACTTCCTGAATAATTAACGCCGATGATTAGATATTCAATGATTGGGACTTCGGACTAAAACTTCATTTTTTTTTCTTGTATCAAAGAAGAATATTCCGTTTGATACTGGATGATTGCATACCATGGTGGCTAATTCTTAGGAACTTTCACAAATTATACTCCTATAAATTATAGGCGTAATTGACTGAACTAGACTACTTTAGATTTGATTGAACCAGATCAGCTTGGGTTGGCCAGGATTAAGATAAAGCTTTAGTACTTATTATAACAAGTCAATATTAAAGTGGCTGCCGAGCATTTTAGTTATTATCATACGTTTTATTTTATTTTAATCTTAGGGTTTGTTCGGAACTGTTTATGAATGGGTTAAGAATGCTTCATGACAATCGAAACTGCTTCTAAATGTGTTTGATAGAAAAACTTATTAAGTGTTTATACATATGTATTCCCAAACAGACACTTACTCCTAAATATCCGCCTAACATTCTTTCGTTTTCATCTCACCTCTTTTCTAAGCTACTTGGATCTCCTTTCCCTAAACTCTTGGATTAATATTATCTTCACATAAACTAGCGTCATTTGAATAAAATTAAAGTGCCGTCAGTGTCACACTTTCTTCTTGCAATGTAAGTTTGTGTGTAAATTACGTGCATGATAAAGTGCTAATGTCGTGACTTGTGAAAGCAATTCCAGCAGCAAGGCTAGGGCACGGGCTAAGGGGGTTTGGGCCAAAAAAGCGAATCCAGCAACTAGCGGCGGATCCATGAATTTTCCTAAGAATGGGCAACATTTAAAAGGCTAAAAGCCAAAAGAAATTCCCGAATTATTCGAAAGAGGATTTAGGGTTTATGGTTATACAAAGATAACCAAATCAGAAAACAAAAATAATCTCTCTAAAATAAACAACAATATTAAAATACATATTATAAAATATATAAAAAACAGAAGGAAAAAAACACCTGAAAAAAAAACATTCAAACTTGGAGGAGAGGAATGGATCTGCAGCAAGACTCAAGAGCATGCAAAGCTTTGTGAAGAATCATTCAACGCAAGGTATCCCTTGGTCCATTTAATTCCAACTTGGACCCCAAGAACACACTCTTCCGTCCAGTGGAAATAAGGCTTCAGGTTTGCTCTTTAAATTTTTATTTTTTTTTGCCTGGCCAAAACAATGTCGTTTGGCCAGGACTTAAAAAACAAAACAAAAGCTGCACCCAGCGCAGCATCGCAACAAAGAAAAGGAGGTTGCTGCGTTGCTAAGGCATTTATTCAAACAGGTGGTGGGCACCTCCAAGGTAGAGCTGAGGGGCAAACTCCAGCGACTTCAAAGCTTTTTTCGACGAGGGGAGGTGCAGCTGCACCTCCTTACGCCTCTGTAGATCCTCCAGTGCCAGCAACAAAGGCTTGCTCGGGCAACAAGTGGAGCCCAGCAGACTGGGCTGGCCCTCCAGGGAGGCTGGCTCGACTTGGAGCCCTAGTTTTGGATGATGTCAGCGCGCTACAGTGTCGCCCATAGCCAGCAGCCACGTGGCGTCGTCTGTGCTCTCTGATCAGATTTTTTCCTCCAATCCAACGGCAGCGAATTTTTGTACAGTAAAATAATGAAAAAAAACCCAAAAATTAATGAATTTTTTTTTCTATAAATACCAACCAATACTCTTTACTTTTAACATCAAATCATAATACATTTTCGTCTCTTTCAACTATTATTCACTTTCTATTTAATATTTTTTTCACTTTCAAGTTTTATTTTTCTGAAATCTTATCCGATTTTTTTTTCCGATTATGAGATATGAATTTTATAATAAAGATTGACACGTAGGAACCCAAAAATCTAATATGAAAATATTATCCAAATTAATTATTTAGGTAAAAAATTGTGTAAAAAAACAAAAAAATAAATAGTATTTGCCATGGCAAAAGGCAACTACTGGAAACACATTATTTTTTACAAGGACAGTTACTATTCACATAAATAATAGCTGCCTTAGCACCCTCTTTGCCATGGCAAGATGCAAAGTGCTGGAAGTGCTATGAGAAACACTTGTTTGGTTTTGGTGGCAATTTTGAAAACGCGGTGTTGACTTTGTTTGTTTGTTTGGAGATTTTTAGACCAGAGGAGGGTGGCGCCAGTCAAAATAGGTTGCGCCAGTGAGACACGTTTGTAGAAAGGGGTGAGTTTTTGTTTTTTTCCCTCGAAAAGATGATGACCTTTTATCTTTTCTTGTTTGTTGAATTTGGGCCCATAAATCAATAAATTGATTTGTGATGTCTTTGATGGGACATGCACCGGCAGCTTCCAGGCACCACATGCATCCACAACTTTCAGAGGTGGAGCCTCTTACTATCTATTTGAACATTTCTAATACTCTAAAGCATACTAAATTCAACTCTCATGAACCGCGATAACTCTGAGTGAACAAGAAAATATGAATCCTAGATTAGTTATTTATTTATTTTCAAGTGAAGATTAGTTATTTATAGATATTGAAGGAAAAAAAAACTCTATGTAGATAGCTATCCTTAAATCCTAAATCGGTGCCTAAGATCTCATCGTTGCTCTTCCTCTTTTCTTTACAGATAGTTATCTCCTCTGTCGAAATGCCACAAGACTGAATGTATAATCACTTCTAAGTTGAGTCCAAAAGTCATCATATATTTTTGGGCATCAACATAAATCATCATATCTATTTTTTTATTCACAAACAATAGAACGTTTATGAAACTATTTTTCTAATGTAATTCTCAATATATTATCAAATTATCACAAATATTATATCTTATTTATTTTTCAATTGAATTTGTGATAACCATCACTAGGGGTTGGTACAGTCTAAATCTCAGCCGAATTAATTACAATAAAATGATTTAATTCAGCTCAAATTTGACAAAAATTTATAATAGCTTGGTTTGGTTTGGTCAATTTGGCCTAAGTTAAACTCTTTTGTTGTTGTTGTTGTTGTCGTCGTCGTGTGGTTTAAAACAACAGCAAAATTAATAACTTGCTACCTTTTTTTATTTTATTTTCTAGCGTATCAAACCATCCTAAAATTTATCATGTCATAAAATTGTCAATAACTAATATAGTTACAATTCAAATATCAATAAACTTCAAAGTTCCATCAAACTTTAAATTCAACATCCTTATTTAATTATTATCGAATGAGAGGACTACACATGTAAAATAAAATAAATTGAAATATAAAAAAAAGATAGTAGACGATCTGGTTCAATTTAGGGCAAACCTGTTTGATTATTATCATGCGAATCGATTTAATTTTTAAACTATTTGACAATTTTCTTGGTTAAAACAAAACAAAACCGATTATTACAATTTGGAACAATTGATTTAGCCAATTCGAACGGATTGACCCATCACCATCACATCCAATTCTTCAATATTTCGAATGTTGGTAACATGAAGGCAAAATGGTAGCTTTCAATTCTCATTAAATTTCGATAATGAGATGTGGCATTTAGCTGCTTCACCCTTTGATGGATTACAGCAAGGTGACCTGCTCTCGCCTTTCCTATTTCTGATCTGTGCTGAGGGGCTTTCAGCATTGATTCGCTATCATGAAGAGAGACGTACATTGAAAGGTTTTCGATTTCATCCCAGTGGAGTAAGTATCGCACATTATTTTTCGCAGATGATTATGTATTGTTTTGCCAGGTTGAGGAACAGGAAGTGCGAAACTTGAAATTTATCTTAGAGTGTTATGAACGGGGATCAGGGCAATCAATCAATTATGATAAAAGCTCCATATTCTTTAGTCACAACTGCCCCATGTGAACACGATGACAAGCAGTGGACATTCTAAAGGTGCAGTAAAATGATGGCTTTGGTAGATATTGGGGCCTTAATGCAGACTTTGGTGCCTCTAAGAGAGCAGTTTTTGATAATGTGCGTAAGAAAATAGGCTAGAAATTGATGGGTTGGTCGGAACAATTTTTATCGCAAGCGGGTAAAGAAATCCTTATTACGGCAGTGGCAATGGCAATGCCCAATTAAGCCATGTCATGCTTCAAACTGCATGTTAGCTTATGCAAGGAGATTGAGAAAGATATTGCAAGATATTGGTGGCACAACAATAAGGAACAAAAGGGTATTCATTGGGTTAGTTGGCAACGACTGAGCTTGCTGAAATATGCTGGTGGACTGGGATTTCGTGATTTGATTTGCTTTAATTTAGCTATGTTAGCTAAAATTGGGTGGCGAATTGTGCAGCATCCTGAGTTACTACTTGCGCATGTTCTACATGATAAGTATCATTATGGCTTGAATTTTTTGGAGGCGGGTTGTGGCAGAGGTTCTTCCTGGGGCTGGAAAGGAATTATCTAAGGGTGCAAGGTGCTTGAAGCCGGTTTGAGATGGATGGCTACCCAAGCCGTACACTTTTAAGGTTCTCTCTCGACACCCGAATGTGCCTCATTGCGTGGTGGAACTTATTGATCCAAAGATCAAAATATGGTGGAATGATATAATCCAAAAATACTTTAATCCAGAGGAGGCCCAACTTATCCTAGCCATGGTCATTAGCTGATGGGGCTGCCCAGACAGACAAATATGGCATTTTACAAAACATGAATGGTACACCGTTAAGTCTGGTTATGACTTGGTAGTCGAGTTGAGAAGAAATGGAGTGATTGGCCGGAAGGGAGAGGGTGAATGCAGCAACCAAAGTGGACAAAGTCGTCCATGGAAACGTATTTGGGTCTTGCGAGTGCCTCCTAAAATCCGGATGTTCAGCTGGCGGTTTGCTCAGGTTGATCAGATGGATGAGATCCTTCAAATTGTGGCTTTTGGATTGTGGAGAATTTGGAAAGGGAGAAATGAGGTAGTTTTTGAAGGACAGTCCTTGGACCGCATGGATTTGGTAAGGTGCTTGCTCATGCAAACTAATGAATATCAGGAGGCTCATTCAACAACCATGGTGCTCAGAAGTGAACTGTTAAGACCACCAGACCAAACCAGGCCCCTTAGGAGAACTTGGCAGAAACCCCCATCCGGATCTTTTAAAGCCAATTGTGATGGGGCCTGGGTGGCACAAACGAAAAGGGGAGGGGTTCGTTGGGTTATCCGGTCTTAGTGGGGTGAGCTCTTGCGAGCAGGTGGTCAAAGGATTGCTTGGTGTGGCACAACACTTGCAACCGAAGCAGAGGCTATACGAGATATGCTGGGTATTTGTCTGCATAATGGGTTCTTGAGCTTAGAAGTAGAGTCTGATTCACAAGAGAATATTCGGATGATAATAGGTGACTGTACGAGTGCGCCAGAAATAGAAGGTATCCTTTTTGACATCCAAGTTTTAACTCGACGTTTTCAGTGGGTGGAGTTTCTTCATATCCCGCCTTTGTAACAAAGTAGCACATGATGGGGCTGCTTATTTCTCTAAAGTTGGGGGCTCTCATGTCTGGGACCAATCTGGCCTAACGCGGCTCCATAATGTTTTAGCTCTTGATGTTTTTGATGACTTGAATTAATAAAACTTCCAAACTTCTGACCAAAAAAAATCAATAATGCTATGATATAAGCGATAATACTTCCATGTGACATTATTGGTCAGAAATAATAAAACAGTGTTATTTATGTTGCAACTAAATTTTTCTCCTTTTAAAACACATACAAATTGTCCCTTTTTTTTAATTGTTATGTTCTTTTACCATAAGACCCTTGAAGATTTGCGACAACCCAATGGCAAAATTGAAAATTTTCTCAATTCCTCGCGGTTCTATATAAATTGGAGGGGACCTCCCCAACCAACTGGTATCACTTTTCCACTCTTCCATTCCTCCTCTGTCCAATCTCTGGATATTTTCTGAGCTCACAAACACCTCCATTTCTTTCTCTGCTCTGTTCTTCAAGAAAAGGTTTTGCCTTTTCTCCATAGAAATGAAGACAAAATGTGGTTTATAGCCTATCTAGCTGAAAACAAACCGTCCTTTCAGAATTTATACAAACAGTCCTCTCTCTCTCTCTCTGTGTTTTCTAAGCAGTTTTCTCTGTGGTTGCCAAAAAATCACTGTGGAAGAGGGAAAAGCAGTGCAAGATTACAAATTGTAAGTAAACATGTCCAAAGCCTAAAGGCCAAGTTTTTATTTTTGGTCAGTTCTTTTATCTCAAGTAAATTGTTGAACTTGTGACTTGATATTAGATTAATTTTCATATCTCATTTCTTTTTTCTTGTGGGTATGTCTGAAATTATATGTAAATTTATTTCGAGTGTATATATGTGTATGAACTAGTGTCCATCAAAAGGAGATGGCTTTGATAATTGTTGGGTGATTGCGGAGAAACCAACATTATCTGTATCTCTAGGAATGAGGGTAGATAAAAATATCCAAAATTCGTATAAAGTATTAGGTAAATTTTATAAAAGGTAACGTCTTGAGATTTTCTCAAATTTCCCATCACAGATAAATGGTAGAGAGTGTAAATTTGATGGGTGGCAGAGGGACACTATGATCTTTTGCAACCCAACCTATAACATGCAGCCTCAGCATAGCTTGCGGTGGTTTCCTTGAAGAAGCCCATCAGGCCAGACAGACCTTGTTCAATATAGGAGGCCTTTACGTAGTAGCTTCGTATTTTTATTTTTCCTTTTATCTTTCTTCATCTTAAGTTAGCTAACATACGGGGGAGTTGCTACTTGGTGCTTGACTCTACCTGTAAGTCTTGTATAAGAATTATTTTCAATTCGGTTTTGTTTAGATAGTCAAATGCCAATCTGGGTCCACATTTGAAAACTTTTTCTAAATATCTTGTAGTTTGGCCTCTACTTTCCACCATATTTATGTTTTTTTCTTCTAATTCTAATTTGTAAAAATGAAATAGGATTATCTTGTCATACTGTTTAACATGTTATATACATTCAAATAAAATTCACCTAGCAGACATGAGTTTAGCCAAGTTGGCTAGAGCGGATGTGTTATCCACTGTGCGCCCGAGTTCAAATCCTCCTCCTTCCCGTAGTTTAGATTATATTAAAGTAGAATATCTTAGATTATATTAAAGTAGAATATCGCTTGTATAAAAAAGCACCTAATTAATTGTAAAATTAGGAGCCTGACAATATAATTGTTTTAGTCGGTCTGGCAATACAATATACTAATAACAGGGGCAGTCAGACACGTTTCTCTATGTACAAATTTCCTTCAAAGTTCAAAATATATATTAATGTTTTGGAGAGGGCAGAACTGATTCTGGGTTGCAATGAAACAATGGGAAAAGGATTTAAGCCCACTTCAAAACCTTTTAGGACTAGCTTTGTTGTCTTCGTATTGAAATTGGCTTAAACTTGGAATCCTTCAATATTCAACAGGCCAAAATAAGTAATATATATTCTTTTTCAGTGGAGTTAATTAATTGTGATCCTGAATCCTAGTTAGTTTGGCCTACAACGTTATGGTTTTGGTTTGTTTATTATGTTTGTAATTGTCTGCTAAAGTCTTACGTTGAACACTGAGATTCAAAAGTTGCATATTATACAAGGAAACGTGCAACTATATAGAGCCCAGGATTCTTGTGAGTCTTCTGAAAACTTGGACCGTAAATGGGAAACCAATTTTTTTTTTTTTCCCAAGCGAAATACAATTATGCACCTAAGCATGACGGACCTAATCTAGAATATGCGAACTAGACAAGTTGTTTGTTAGATATTTTGTGCATCACATTCCTGGTGCTTTCTTGAAGTACATTTCGGTGGCATATTGACGGCGACTGCTCAAGTTTTTGTCAAAAAGGTGATGATTTGATTACATGATTTATGGTTACTATTAAGTTACTGTGCTGTTAAAAAGATTGCAAATTTGATTTGTTAGCATAGTTCTTGGGGTCCTAAAGTTAATTTGCATCAATGGTAGCTTTCGTCGTTTTTGCTGTAATAAAAAAGATATTTGCACAAAGATATCACTCCTCCATGAATTGTATACATGGAAGAAAACGATTTTGAGTAGTTACTCAGCAGAAACCTTATTTCTTTTCCTTTTGGTCCCTTGTTTTTTTCCTTGCCTTCTGGGGGGGTGTTGAGTCTGGAATGTATGGTTTTAACTATGCTGATGTATGCATATCACATTCTGCAGGAATTCCATATCTTTAGTTCCTTGTCTTTGATTGGTGCAAAATGGCTACAAATGCCACAGTTGCAAGTGCATGCCCAGCACCCATGAAAGCAACATCCAATGGGGTCTTTCAGGGTGATAATCCTCTGGATTTTGCGCTCCCTCTTGCCATCTTACAGATATGTCTTGTGGTTGCACTTACACGGATTCTTGCTTATCTTCTCCGGCCACTAAGACAGCCTCGTGTTATTGCAGAGATTGTGGTAAGTACATAGCATGTTTGTATTGTTGTTGTTTGCTTTGTATACTTTGGTGGCCCTCAAAATGATAGTCAATTCATTTATGTTGTAATCAAATTTATGTTAATTTTTCATTTTTTTATTTTCCATTGGTTGAATATATTATTTGCAAACCAATCCCTTAAGAGAGGGAGAGAGCTGGAAGAATAGAACTATCATGCACCCTAAAAGTGACTTAGAGAGGATCTATGCATTTCACAAAAATAGGTGGAAGTGCTAGTCAGTTTGCTCTCAGAGTGAACACATATCGGTGCTTACTGTTATACATTTTTTGAACCCATTCTCAATTTGCATTATGTCTCCAGTAGTTTCCTATTTGTTTGTATGCAATATGGGACCTGGTTTTACTAATGTTGCACTATTTAATATTTTGAAAAACAATTCACAAAAAGAAATTTCCCTTGTCTGAAAGGCAGATGTTTTTGTAAGTAAAACCATATAGTTCAAACAATTATAATTCCTCTTTTTCATAAATAAGAAATAAAAACTAACAAAGGTCTTACTTTGATATGTGGTTCCATTTTCAATTTTGTTTAAGAGGAAAAATATCCACATCCTCATGATAAGAGAGAGTTTAACTTAGTATTGTTTTTTCTGCAGGGAGGAATATTACTTGGCCCCTCAGCTCTTGGTCACAGCAAAAATTACCTGGATACAATTTTTCCAAAAAGAAGTCTCACGGTGTTAGATACTTTAGCCAATCTTGGTCTTCTCTTCTTTCTTTTCCTGGTAGGCTTGGAGTTAGATCCTAAGTCCATCCGCCGGACTGGAAAGAAGGCTCTATGCATAGCTGCTGCAGGAATTACTCTACCTTTTGTATTAGGAATTGGTACATCGTTTGCCCTCCGAGCAACTATATCTAAAGGTGTAGATGGACCCCCATTTCTTGTTTTTATGGGAGTGGCTCTTTCTATAACTGCCTTCCCTGTTTTGGCTCGTATTCTGGCTGAGCTGAAGCTTTTAACCACTGATGTTGGCCGAATGGCCATGTCAGCAGCAGCAGTCAATGATGTGGCTGCATGGGTTCTTCTTGCTCTTGCCATTTCCCTCTCCGGCACTGGCCGTTCTCCCCTGGTTTCACTATGGGTTTTCTTGTGTGGGTGTGGTTTTGTTCTCGGTTGTGTATTTTTTGTTCGACCTATCTTTAAATGGATGGCACAGCGCTGTCCTGAGGGCGAACCAGTAGAAGAATTGTATGTGTGTGCTACTTTAGTTGCAGTTTTGGCAGCTGGGTTTGTCACTGATACTATTGGAATTCATGCTCTATTTGGTGCATTTGTGCTTGGAATTCTTGTTCCAAAAGAAGGACCATTTGCAGGCGCTCTTGTTGAAAAAGTTGAGGATCTTGTATCTGGTCTATTCCTCCCATTATACTTTGTCTCAAGTGGATTGAAGACCGATGTAGCTACAATTCGTGGAGCTCAGTCATGGGGCCTCCTAGTCTTGGTCATTTCAACGGCCTGTTTTGGGAAGATCATTGGGACTATAGGTGTTTCCCTCCTCTGCAGAATGCCCTTTCAAGAGGCTCTGGCTCTGGGATTTCTCATGAATACAAAAGGGTTGGTGGAGCTCATTGTCCTTAACATTGGCAAAGACAGAAAGGTAAAAACTTATCATTTTCCTCTACTGATGATTATCAAGGTTGTCTGTAATATTTGTACATGCATGTAACTTAATGTGCTAGATTTCGGATATTGCAGGTTTTGAATGATCAAACATTTGCTATCATGGTTCTCATGGCTATCTTCACAACCTTCATTACAACACCTATAGTAATGACAGTATACAAGCCAGCTAAAAGAAAGAGCAATTCAAATTACAAGTACAGAACTATTGAAAGGAAAGACCCAAGTACTCAGCTCCGAATTTTGACCTGTTTCCACGGTACAAGGAACCTCCCCACAATGATTAATCTCATTGAGGCTTCTCGTGGGACTGAAAAGAGGGAACGGCTTTGTGTGTATGCAATGCATCTTATGGAGCTTAACGAGAGATCTTCTGCAATTGTGATGGTTCACAAAGCGAGAAGAAATGGGCTACCCTTTTGGAATAAGGGATCAGATAACAATCAAGTTGTTGTGGCTTTTGAAACCTTTGAGCAGCTGAGTCGGGTGGCTATCCGCCCAATGACAGCAATCTCTTCCATCCCTAGCATGCATGAAGATATCTGTGCAAGTGCTGAAAGGGAAAGGGCAGCAATGATTATTATCCCATTCCACAAGCACCAGAGGTTGGATGGGGCATTGGAGACAACTCGAACTGAATACAGAGGGGTCAACCGGAGGGTTCTTGAGAACGCACCATGCTCAGTTGGGATCATGGTGGACCGTGGTCTTGGTGGAACCACTCATATATCTGCCAGCAATGTTTCTTCAACCATAGTTGTCCTATTCTTTGGGGGTAGTGATGATCGTGAGGCCCTTGCTTACGGTATGCGAATGGCTGAACACCCGGGTAACAATTTAACTATTGTTCACTTCTTAGCAAGTCCTGAACTTGAGAAGGAGATTGTCAGAGTAGATATAAACGATGGCTCTAACGCTTCAGCCGGGCCAGGGAATGAGAAGCTCATTGCTGAGCTGAAGCAGAAGATTTCAAATGACGGCTCAATCAAATATGAGGAGAGAACAGTGAGAAATGCTGCAGAAACTACTGATTTTATTCGCGAGTTTAATCGTTGTAATCTGTTTTTGGTTGGTCGATGGCCTGAGGGTCAAGTAGCTGCTGCTTTGAATGTGAATTTGAAGGTGAAGAGTGACTGTCCTGAACTGGGGCCTGTAGGTAGCTTGCTGACCTCTCCAGATTTCACAACTGCAGCATCAGTCTTGGTAGTGCAGCAGTATCATGGCCTGGCAGTGCTTCTGGGCCCGGTTTCTTCATCGAAGGTGGTTGTGTTGTCTGAGGAAGAATCAGAAACCAGCTGATAACTTCTTCCTAGCCTGTTTGGATTCATTGTACAGATTATGATAAAAATTTAGTTTAGATAAATGTCTATCCTTAGATCCATTTAAGATTGTTACTTCTCAAAGATCACAAGTTTTAATTATCAATTGCCACAGCTTATGCTTATGGATCTGTAGATTCTTGCCACCACTAAAGATCATTACCTAAAAGAAAAACAAAATGATTTTAACTTGCTATCTTTTCTATTTTCTTGTAATCTTCAAACAGAATTGTCCATTTGCACTATTCTTCTAGCCTATGAATGAAGAAGGCTACTCTTGCATTATTCTTTCATGTAATAAATTAATGTGATAATATTCTTTTAACCAATAGAGCGAGGAGCCAATATCATCTGTCACATTGGGTATTAAGGGCTAATTAGGATTGGTTATGCATTAAGTTGCAGTATCTTTGGGATATGCTCAAGAAAACTTGTGAGAGTCAAGGGAGGGAAAATTAATACATGCAGATTAGAGTATTGCAATGACCTCTCCAGATTCCCTCTGCTCTGAGTCAACTCTATGGGTTTAGAATAATTGTTAGAAATGCCAATGATTGGTCTACACTCAATCTCTGGCATTTTCAATTGCATAAACAAAAGTGGTTTTGCATGCCACTGTTTTTTAATTGATCATAACTTTACCTATTCCTGATCCTGCTATATAATCATAATTCATAATCATAATTTAGTATTGAATGGTTTTGTCAAATGTGAATGGATTGCTACAAGAAAAAGTCAAATGTGAATGGAATTCTAGACTGGCAATGTTGTAAATTGGTAAATGTTGTTGCTGCCTTGCCTTATGTTTCTTTTGTTGGCAGATGATTGAAAGATGCAAACATTTCTAGATGAGTTGTTTGTTGAGACTTTGAATGGCTGAGAGTTACCAACTTTACAAGGTGACCTCAGATTCTTTTCCCTGATGCAGAGGCCATTCCATATTTTCCATTAATTTCACCAGATTATAAATCCTAGCTTTCTTGGAGATTTGATTAAAACGTTTTTCTTTTTCTTTTACTTTTTTCTAAAAAATAAACTTCATTAAATAAACTTCAACAATACAATCAAAGACATCAATATGACATCTAAAGTCAATCTCAAAAAAAAAAAAAAAAAAAAAAAAAAAAAAAAAAAAACAAACCCAAAAAAATTTAAAAAAAAAAAAATAGACAAAAAAATTGACAAAAAACCACTATTAGTTACACATTACCACAATTAATCATTTCTTTGTTTATTATTTGTTCTTTTTCTTTCAATTTTTTGTTTATGTTTACCATTACAGATCTTTACAGCCTGCAGGGACATAAACAATCAAACAAACATTTTAAAATCGATTTGAAAACTCAAATTTAGAAAAACTTGTGGCGGCACAGATGCTCTATTTCTACAATTGGCAAATACATGCACACAAGCCTGTTCATGTTTGTAATACGCGTATACTATCACTCCTTCCTATATTTTCTCCTTTTCATACTTGGATTTTGATTTATTTCTGTTTATAACATATAATGGTAATTATTGTATTTATATTACATAATATCTCAAGCTTTCGATATTATATAAATTCAAACAAATTTAAAACTTAAACATACGTGAATTAGGTCGGTTTTTTTGGGTCGAAGAATTAGGTCGGTTAGTCAATGCAATGTGGTCACCCTCACCAGTTGTCCGCTATTGAGAGAGGCAGCTACATAGATAGAGAACATCGATCAACAGGAAATCAATTAAGAAAGAGACAAAAAAGGACAAGTACTAAGTTGGAGAGTTTCTTTTCATTGCTAGCATTCCCCTCGACAATTTAGAGAGGGTTGACTCTTATTTCAGGGGCCCACCTGAAGTGCAAGCAAAAACAGCAGATTCCAGAACTTGCAAGCAAAAACAGTAGAAGGCAGGCACCAAATCTCAATCACACATTCCGAGTGGTGGGTATAAGATGTAATCTAGTGTCAAGTCATTCAAGGTTTCTTTTTCCTCTTTTTTCTGAATCTTAAAGAAACATACATATATAAATATATATTTTTGAAATCATTAAAATATTGAAGAAGTGAAAACTGACAAAAAAGTCATTGCCTTAATTGCTTTGCTACCTATATATATTTTCTTCCCACTTGACAACTCAACCCTCTACTTGACGGCTCTCTTTAGAGTAAGCACAAACAAATGCTATGAACCATCCAAGTTATAATTTTTTTTCAAAATAAAAATAAAAAGCAAAGAAAGAGAAAGTCACCCAAATCTTGTTAACCCCACCTGTCGTTGTCTCTCTCTCTCTCTCTCTCTCTCTCTCTGGGTCTGTTATTATTAAAACTGGTAGCACAATCTCCAAGGTCAGGCTCTGACTGCAGTGACAATTCAGAGCCATTACTGAAAGCTCTGTTTTTCAGCCAAGACCAGGCGGTTCATATTTGATCCAGGCCAAGCTGCTGACCCAATAAACAGGTAAAGCTATTATCTTTCTTATTTTGTTGAATTGGAGTATGTTTGGCCTTTGGATGATTGATGATGGGTTTTGTTTGAAAAATGTGTTCAAGCGATAAAGATGAGTTCTTTTACAGAAATCTCAAATGGATAAATGTCAGTTTTTAAAAAGACTGTTTGCTGATTGAGTTTGATCAACTTCTTCATATAGGATAGGTGCAGTAGAATGCCTGGTTATATTCTATGGTTTCTGAAAATTTTCATTTAAATCTGCCGACTTTGATTAGGATCTTAGAGTTTAATCAAATTTTACCAGATGGGTTGGACTTGTTTTCTTGATTTCAATCTGAGTTTGACTGGATTTAGGACTCTTAATCTGAGTTTGACTGGATTTAGGACTCTTAATTAACCAAGCAATAAACCGTGGTTAATTTGGTAATTGGCTTGTTATAAAGGAAGTGATACTATCTGATATACCTTTGCGATAGTGACCTAAAAGAAAAAGAAAACAATTTTTTAGTTTTTTAATCTCAGCCATTAGGTCTAAAGCGATCTTTAGCAAATGAGATTAAGTTAATTTGAGGTTGTTTAGGTGCTGTGCTTGTTCTCATGCTACGCGAGATGGAGTTTGGAGGAGATAATTCACTTATTTTTTGGCGCATAGCACGGTGCCCAATTAACTACTTGCCAGTGCTCTCTGTTGGACATATTTGTTTGTATGTACATATATAATGTGTATGTGTGTCCTGTTCTGTATAATTTGATCATTTTGGAATTGGAAATCTGATACTGGTTTCTGTTGGCAGATACTCAAAGTCAAAATTTCTGTTTTGCTTCGGGAACTTTGTTTGGTAGAGATGGCTTCCAATGCCACAGCAGGACATGCATGCCCACCTCCAATGAAGGCTACATCAAACGGTATATTTCAGGGTGACGATCCTCTTCATTTTGCACTCCCTCTTGCTATTTTGCAGATATGTATTGTTGTCATCGTCACTCGCGGCCTTGCCTACGTTCTGAGGCCATTAAGACAGCCACGAGTCATTGCTGAGATTGTTGTACGTTATTTCTTCTTTCTCTTTGGGATTAAATTTGATCAAAGTGCAGTTGGTTTTGTCCATGATGGTATTGCTATACGTACACTCAGTGTTAATTCCTGGGAGTAGTTCTAAGGAGAAGAGCTGTAGCCCTTCAGTGTTGAGTTTATTGCCTTTGAAGTTCGATGGCTTCTAACTTTCTTTGCTTTGAAAGTTCGGGGGTGTTGGATTGTGATTCATCTGAAAAAAGAAACTGTAAATCAGCAGTGCCTTCTGATAATTCAAAAATGTTTCTGATAAAGATTATATAATATTTTATTTTGAATTTGAATGATTTCTAGGCTCAGTAAACCTGTATTTTTCTTTGCTTTTTTCTCTGTACTGCCTGAAAATGTGTACGTGACGTTTAGGTATTGATATTGGAAGCAGGCATGTTTCCTTAGGAAACCTTTTGGATGTTTGTTTTTCAGTCCCCTGCTGTATTGAAATTCACTTGGCAGACAGGAGAATGTTGTTTAATGGTTCCACAGAATTGATTTTTCAGAATTTAACTGAACCTAAAAACAGAATACCATGCTGATTGTGAGTTGTGATTTCTGGTTTGGCAGGGAGGAATACTACTTGGGCCATCAGCTCTGGGACGGAACAAAAGTTATCTCCAGGCAATATTTCCACCGAAGAGTATCACAGTTTTGGACACCTTAGCAAACCTTGGTCTCCTATTCTTTCTATTCCTTGCAGGACTAGAGATAGATCCTAAATCCATCCGCCAGACTGGGAAAAAAGCCCTTGCTATTGCCATAGTAGGAATAAGCCTCCCATTTGCATTAGGAATCGGTTCATCATTTGTCCTCCGAGAAACCATAGCCAAAGGGGTAGATGCTACCGCATTTCTTGTATTCATGGGTGTGGCCCTTTCAATCACTGCTTTTCCTGTCTTAGCTCGTATTCTGGCTGAGCTGAAACTATTGACCACTGACATTGGAAGAATGGCTATGTCGGCTGCAGCAGTTAATGATGTGGCCGCCTGGATTCTACTCGCTCTTGCTGTTGCCCTATCTGGAAGTAACCAATCTCCTCTTGTTTCATTATGGGTCTTCTTGTCTGGGTGTGTGTTCGTTATTTGTGCAATTCTCATTGTTCCCCCAATATTTAAATGGATGGCTCAACGATGTCACGAAGGTGAACCTGTTGACGAGATCTACGTATGTGCTACACTAACTGCAGTTCTGGCTGCTGGGTTAATTACTGATACAATTGGAATTCATGCCATGTTTGGTGCTTTTGTGGTTGGAGTTCTTGTTCCAAAGGAGGGGCCATTTGCAGGTGCTCTTGTGGAAAAAGTAGAAGATCTTGTATCTGGTCTCTTTCTACCATTGTACTTTGTGTCAAGTGGACTGAAGACTAATGTGGCCACAATTCAGGGGCTTCAGTCATGGGGTCTTTTGGTTTTGGTCATATTTACTGCCTGCTTTGGGAAGATTTTTGGGACTATTATGGTGTCTCTTTTCTGCAAACTGCCTGTCCGTGAGGCTTTAGCTCTTGGGTTCCTAATGAACAGTAAAGGATTGGTGGAACTCATTGTCCTCAACATTGGTAAAGATAGAAAGGTAAATATGTAATTCTGATATTACTAATATAATCTCTTAATTTTTCAACCAGGGCTGACTTATTACATCAAATAATTGTTTACATTTTGCAGGTCTTGAATGACCAGACTTTTGCAATTATGGTTTTAATGGCTCTCTTTACTACTTTTATCACTACGCCCCTTGTCATTGCCGTGTATAAGCCAGCGAAAAAGGCCGGAATGGCTGTTTACAAGCATAAGACAATTGAAAGGAAAAATATGAACACCCAACTAAGGATCTTGGCCTGTTTTCATAGCGCGAGAAACATTCCATCAATTATAAATCTGCTTGAGGTTTCACGAGGTACAAAGAAGCGTGAAGGCCTTTGTGTCTACGCAATGCATCTCAAGGAGCTCTCTGAGAGGTCATCAGCTATATTAATGGTACACAAGGCGAGAAGAAATGGGTTACCCTTCTGGAATAAGAGCCAGCAACCAAATTCGGACAACGTTATTGTGGCATTTGAGGCATACCAACAACTGAGCCGGGTGTCCATCAGGCCAATGACTGAAATCTCTTCAATATCTGATATGCACGAGGACATTTGTGCCACTGCTGAGAGCAAAAGAGCTGCAGTCGTAATTCTTCCATTCCATAAGCACCAGAGACTTGATGGTACATTAGAGACTACACGAAATGACTTTCGCTTGGTTAATCAGAGGGTTCTTCAGCATGCACCTTGCTCAGTTGGAATTCTGGTTGATCGTGGGCTTGGTGGAGCAACTCATGTAGCTGCAAGTAATGTTTCTTATAACATCACAGTTCTCTTCTTTGGGGGTCGTGATGACCGTGAAGCCCTTGCTTATGGTGCTCGTATGGCTGAGCACCCTGGTGTAAGTTTAATGGTCATTCGGTTCTTAGTGGAACCTGAGGTTGTGGGGGAGATTTCAAGAATTAATATTAATGACAATGCTAGCACCAAATTGGGGTCAGTAGATGAGGAAGTCCTTGCTGAGTTTAAGCAGAAAATTTCCAAGGATAACTCAATAATGTACGAAGAGAAGGCAGTCAGAAACAATGAACAAACCATCGCTGTGATTCGTGAGGTAGGCCGCTGCAATCTGTTTCTTGTGGGGCGAACACCTGGTGGTGAAGTAGCCTTAGCTTTAAATAGGAGGAGTGAGTGCCCAGAACTCGGTCCTCTTGGGAGCTTGTTAATCTCTCCAGATTTCTCTACATCGGCATCAGTCTTGGTAGTGCAGCAGTACAATGGCCAGGTATCATTGAACTTGGCCTCAGAAATTGAGGAAGAGTCGCCTGAAAGAGACTGAGAATCGAAGTAATTGGATTTCCAATGTCTTGAATATGACTTGGATTGGTTTACAATGTAACTTAGATATTCTTCTAAGCATTAGGCTCCATCACATAATCATGCTGCAAATGCAATTAGTCATATATAGTCATCGTCATAGTTCCATTCTCCGCAGCAGGGCATTTCACAGATTTATGTAGCTCCAGTCTTTTTGAAGAATAAATCTTTTATCTCCACTATTTGTTTCTTGTTGGTAAACAATCTCCTTTTATTATATCAGTTTAACTTGAAGGCGTTTTGCGTTTTAGATAGTAATTACAAGTCCAATATTTCTAATCAGTGTATTCTACACATAGCAAGTCTTTTTCTAAGTAGAAAGCTTAAATAGTACAGCAACTTGGGACAGATAGCAAACTCAACTCACAACCACTTGGGAATTTTATCTCCCTATGCATATTGTAAGATTACCTTTTTTTTTGGGGTCAATATTGTAAATTCACTTCAGACAAATCAGTAAGACAGCCCATGTTGAACCGATCACAAAGAGCATCATATTCCCACATTTGAAGACGATGACATGGTTGTTGTTAGGCAAGAGAAAAGGTCTAACAATGAGAAAGGCATGTGTTCTTACATATAAATCCCTTTACATATAAAAAGACTTGGGACCCCAAGAAAGTACCCCAAAAAAAAAAAAAAAAAAAAAAAAAAAAAAAAACTAAAGTCTCCTTGTGTGGAATTGAATATCTTTTTGGCTTCCAAGGGCCTATATAAAGGCATGAATTGGGAGACACAAAGCTCACATCCTCTAGAATTTGGCATAGTCCAATTTCCCTTTTCTTGTTTTCATAACCAATTTCAATGGGAGCAAGAAATTCCATTGTTCTGTTTTTCTTCATGTTGTTTGCTTTATCTTCAGCCTCCCCAAAACACAAAAACAAGTACAAGCCATGCAAGCACTTAGTGCTATACTTCCATGAGACTGTTTACAATGGCACCAATGCTGCTGATGCCACATCTGCCATTGTTGCAGCACCTCAAGGAGCCAACTTAACCATCTTGGCACCCCAAAACTATTTTGGGAACATTGTAATCTTCAATGACCCTATAACCCTCGACAACAACATTCACTCTAAGCCTGTTGGCAGGGCACAAGGGTTCTACTTGTATTTCACAAAGGACACAATCAGTGCTTGGTTTGGGTTCTCATTTATTCTAAATAGCACTGACTACCAAGGCAGCATAAATTTCATTGGCCCTAATCCGGTTTTTGAGAAAACTTGGGACATATCCGTTGTGGGGGGCTCTGGAGACTTCTTCATGCACCGGGGCGTTGCAACCCTAAGGACGGATGCGTTTGAAGGGAAATACTTCTTCAGGCTCCATGTGGATATCAAATTCTATTAATGTTGGTAATTTATGCATGTTAAGAACCGAGAATGCGTCTTCAAATATGTATCTTTTTCTTGCTTAGTAATTAGTATGAATGTTGTGTTATTGATTTGAGAAAAATAAAAAGTTATTCTTCGTTCTTCATATGTACTGCACTAGGGGTCATTATTTGGCACGGGCTCATGGGCCGATGGGAGTCCGCTTGACCCATTGAGAAAAAACCTGGCCCAACCCATTGTTCAGTGGACTAGGCTTGGACTAGGGTGTCTAAAGCTCAGCCGTCCTGTTTAAGCCCATGAAAGCCCAACCATGCCCGCCCACAAAAGCCCGGCCTATAGAGAACTGAAGTTACTAAAATCTTATGAGACCACCCGAATATGGGAGACTTGCAGAATTTCGAACAGAGGATGTACTTAATGTTAGCGAGATCCTAGCTTAATTATGATATTTATTTCATAGTTTATTAGGATTATATTTCTTTCCTTTTTGTACAGATATTGTGCAATTAGGTTTTTATCTTGTTTCCTAGTTTGACCCTACTAGGGTTACATCCTTGTACTATAAATACCTTATTTTGGAGAATGAAATATAACCTGAAAAATATTCTACCCATATTGTTTGACTTGGCATCAAAGCCAACTTTTTTGGTGACTTGTGTATTGTGCCCACCCGTGTTCTATCCCCATAATTTTTTTTCTCTACCTGTGCCATGTGCGCCCTCCTGGGTTTTTGTGTTGTGTTGTCGTGTTCATGCCTTTACTGTGTTCGTGCCATTCCTGTGTTCGTGCATCTGCCGTATTTGTGCCTTTGCTGTGTTTCGTTGTGTACTCTGCTGTGTTCGTGCTTGTCTTCTTACATCTGCCGTATTTGTGCCTCTGCTGTGTTCCGTTGTATACTTTGCCATGATCTGTTGAGTTTCTGCTGCAATCATGGGTGATAACTCCATTGTTGGTGCTGTTGCTGCTGCCTCTGCAAATTTGTGTGTTTTTGATTCTATTCTAGATACTGGCTCTAATACTTGGATAATTGACAATGGTGCTTTGATCATATGACTTATGATGCTAAATTTTTTGATGAGTTGTCTAGTAACACCCGTGACCCATACATAACTAGTGCTAATGGCTTGCCCTCTCCAATTACTAGTGAGGGCACAATCTTTCTCACTCCTACTCTGTGCTTGTCTCGTGCGTTACTAGTTCCCAATATCCATTGTAACTTGTTATCTGTTGGTCGATTACTTGATACACTTAATGCTTCTGCTACTTTCTATCCTACGCATTACTCTTTTCAGGATCTCAAGACTCATGAGACGATTGGGCATGGTAAACGGATAGGGGGGGTTATATTATTTGACATTGCCTTCTGCACCAGGTTGTGCTCGTGTCGTTAATATTGTTCAAAGTTGCAGTGTTAAAGACAAACAACAAATTTGGTTATGGCATCGTCGCTTGGGACACCCGTCATTTGGCTACCTTAAGCATCTGTTTCCATTTTATTCCACTTTTGTGATGAGTCCAGTTTTAAGTGTGAGACATGTATTTTGGCCAAGAGTCATCGCACTGTGTTTCCTTTGAGTGTCAGTAAAGCTGCAAAGCCTTTTGATTTAGTGCATTCTGATGTGTGGGGTCCGGCTCGCGTTACTTCGAACAGATTTCGTTGGTTCGTTACATTTATTGATGATTGTACCTGACTCACTTGCTTGCTGAAAAATAAATATGATGTTGCTTCCATCCTTCCAGAGTTCTGTACTATGGTGTCTACTCAGTTTTATGCTCGGATCAAAGTATTCCGGACTGATAACGGAGGCGAATATGTGAATAACACTTTGGCATCTTTCTTCCTTGCTCAAGGTATTATTCACCAAACGACAACACCATTTACTCCTCAGCAGAATGATGTGTCTGAAAGCAAGAATCGTTAGTTACTTGAAGTTGCCCGCTCCCTTATGTTGGACATGTCTGTTCCCCATCATCTTTGGGGGTATACTGTTTTATCTGCTGCATATTTGATTAATCGTACTCCTAGCCGGGTTCTTGATTTCAAGACTCCACATGATGTGTTTGATAACCATGTTTCCCTTGTCTTAGTCTCCAAGTTGCCTCATAAAGTTTTTGGGTGTGTTGCCTATGTTCGTGTCTACTCTCATCAACGGAGTAAACTTGATCCTTGTGCTTTGCGATGTGTTTTTATTGGTTATTCTTCTACTCATAAAGGTTATAAATGTTATCATCCACCTATCCAAAAGGTGCATGTTACTTTGGACGTGACTTTCCATGAAGAAGTGCCCTATTATGTCTCTCTTTTCTCTCCAATTCAGGGGGAGAGGGGGAGCGAATTGGAGAGTCTTGGATTGGAGAATGATGTGTTTGAAGATAATGCTTTCAGGAAGGAAACGACTTGTCGCACTGAAGCAAGTGATCGGTCGCCCATATATGAAGATGAAACTTGTGGTCCCTGTGAAGAAATGACTTATCACCCTTTGGACCTCGACCAGTCGCCCATATCTGGAGAAGAAGCAGGTGCTCTCGGTGTTGAAACGACCGGTCACACTGAAGCAAGTGACCAGTCGCCTGTATCTGAAAATAATTATAGTGATTCTTGTATGGATGAGTTTGATGCAATACCCCCCTCTGCCCTGCCAGTGCCCCAATCTTCTCGTGATAGTGAATCAAGTGAAGTAATTTCTAATGATCTATCTGTGTCAATTTATCAGTTACCCCCACGAACCACTCGTGGGAAACCTAAAGTACAATATTCTCCTGATATACATGCCAAGTCTAAATATCCCATTAGCCATTGTGTGTCAACTCATCGTTTGTCTAAGTCATATGCATAATATTTGTGTCAATTATCTAGTGTATGTGTGCCAACTAAGCTGCAGGATGCTTTATCTAACCCCAAATGGATGGATGCCATAAATGTTGAAATGGATGCCTTGAACAAGAATAAAACATGGGATTTAGTTCCTTTGTCACGAGGGAAGAAAGCTGTTGGATGCAGATGGGTGTTTACTTTGAAGCATAAAGCTAATGGTTTCATTAACGGTTACAAGGCTAGATTGGTAGCAAAAGGTTATACTCAGACCTATGGAGTTGATTATTTGGAGACCTTTGCTCTAGTAGTAAAGCTCAATACTGTGCATATACTATTTTCCCTGGCTTCTAACCACGACCGGCCCTTATTACAATTCGATGTCAAAAATGCATTTCTACATGGTGACCTCAATGAGGAGATTTACATGGATCTCCCTCCTGGTATTCCTGTAACCTCAAATGAGGGTGTTGTGTGTAAGCTGCGGAAGTCTTTATATGGATTGAAGCAGTCTCCAAGAGCGTGGTTTGGGAGATTTGCAGCATTTATGAAGAAATTTGGGTATGTACAGAGTAACTCAGACCATACTTTGTTTCTAAAGCGTCATAAAGGTAAATTGACAGCTTTAATTATTTATGTTGATGATATGATTGTGGCTGGAGATGATCAGGCAGAAATGCAAAATTTTCAGAAGTATCTAGCTTCCGAGTTTGAGATGAAGTCATTGGGTGATTTGAAATACTTTCTTGGGATTGAAGTTGCCAGATCTAAACATGGTATCTTTCTGTCTCAAAGAAAGTATATTTTGGATTTACTTGCAGAGACTGGAATGTTAGATTGTAAACCAATTGATACCCCTAGTGAACAGAATCATAAGTTAGGGTTGTATCCTGATCAAGTCCCTACAAATAAAGAGCGTTATCAACGACTTGGGGGAAATTGATTTTTTTATCTCATACCGTCCTGATATTGCATATGCAGTGAGTGTAGTAAGTCAGTTTATGCATTCTCCTAGTGAAGATCATATGGGTGCTGTGATGCGCATATTGAGGTATCTGAAAGTAACTCCTGGAAAGAGGTTAATGTTTTGTAAGAATGGTCATACAGATGTGGAAGGGTATACGGATGTTGATTGGGCTGGTTCAGTCACTAATAGACGTTCTATGTCTGGGTATTTCACATTTGTTGGTGGTAATCTTGTTACTTGGAGGAGTAAAAAGCAAAAAGTGGTGTCTAGGTCTAGTGCCGAGTACCGTGGGATGGCTCAAGGTGTGTGTGAGTTACTATGGTTGAGAAGATTGTTGAGAGATCTTGGGTTTGGACCCCAGAAACCCATGGATTTATATTGTGATAATAAAGCTGCAATTGCAATTGCGCATAATCCTATGCAACATGATCGTACAAAGCACGTGGAGGTTGATCGACATTTTGTTAAAGAAAAGTTGGATGCTGAAATTATTTCTTTTCCATTTATATCATCCGAGTATCAACTGGCAAATGTTCTTACGAAAGCTGTGTCTACTACAGTTTTTCTCAACTCGCTTGACAAGTTGGGCATGCGTGACATCTTTGCTCCAACTTGAGGGGGAGTGTTAGCGAGATCCTAGCTTAATTATGATATTTATTTCCTAGTTTATTAGGATTATATTTCTTTCCTTTTTGTACAGATATTGTGTAATTAGGTTTTTATCTTGTTTCCTAGTTTGACCCTACTAGGGTTACATCCTTGTACTATAAATACCTTCTTTTGGAGAATGAAATATAACATGAAAAATATTTTACCCATATTGTTTGACTCTTAAAACGGCTAGCTTGTTTTGATCACACTTGATTTCAAGCATTTGTCTCCCTCCAACTTTCTATATCTATTAAAAAGAGAAACAATATTGTCACCAAATTTAACCATCTAGTTTTATAAATCCATTCATGTGTGGGGTTTGTCTCAAAAGACATTAATACAATTAAGGGAGACCTATCACTTAATTTACCACTTTATGAACCCTCCCTTTTTCGACGTGGGACAATCGTATTTGATCAAAATTATATATATACTAAAACTGAGTTCACAATTCATTGTTCTTAAACTGTAGTTTAGGAATAGTGAACTGTCGATTTTGCCATTTACTGAATTTTCCCTTATGTTCCCTTTTTGCCCCTCTCTCTTTGGATGCTAACTCTCCCCACTGTTTCGTTTACACACAACGATCGCCCGCTTCGAACCAGCTTGGTTGGGGGCAGCTATGAAAGATCTGCGTTCACTGTTCTACATGTGTGGGGAATCGTCAGTTTTCGTTTGGGGAGGGGCGTTGCGAATCCAGCCGCCCTTTTGGTCTTCATCTTATTGGTTTTCATATAAAATGTTGGGTTCGAGTGTTGCCATTCCAGCTGCGCTTCATCCTTCTTCTCAGCACACGGGTTTAGCTGAAAGGGATTTATGGGTTTCGTAAAAAAAAAGGTTGGTTTTAACGTTCTTTTGGTTTTCTAGGTTGGTTTATTCATTTATCAAAGTAAATCAGAAATTGAGTTTGGTTTGTTGTTACAGGGAGGAAGATCGAAGGAAAAAGAACTGGAGTAATTAATATATGAATCCCCAGTCTGCTCATCAATCTGGTAATTGATGTCTGTGTGGCTGATTTTCTATTTGCCTGTGGTTATAGACTCCTCCTTTTTTATTTTTTTATTTATTTATAAATTTTATAATTATTTTAATGACTCCAACTCCTCATTTTTTTTAATTTTTTTTATTTTATTATTATAAATTTTATAATTATTTTAATGACTCCAAATTTTAGTTGGTTTGGGTAATTGTTCTTGTTGGAGAATTGGATTAGATTTTATTTCTTTTTTCCATTCTCTCTCTCTAATTTTTGGTTCATGATGGAATTTTTGCTTCAATTTCTGCTCTTTTTGGTTCAATGAAGAAAACATTTAGGTTTGATCTGTTTACTATCTCTAATTTTTGGATCCTAATGAGATTTCTTTCATTATATATGCTGCTTCTCCAGAGCACCAATGAAGAAAGCATTTAGATTTGATGGGTTTGTTGTCAATGGTATGAATCTCTCTCTCTCTCTCTCTCTCTCTCTCTCTCTCTTTCTTTTTGGTTCACCAAATGGTTTTCATCTATTCTAATTTTCTGATTTTTAAATTATTTTTCGGGGATTAATGGAGATGATGTGGCTCATAGAATCAAAGCATGATAGATAAAATGGAGGGTTTTGTTAAGCATATATCTAATATTTTACTAGAATTGAAAGCTAAGTTTATAGAACATCTGTTAGACCAGCCATGTTATATGGGACTAAATGCTGGACAGTTAGAAAACAAACATATTCATAGTTCCTGTAGGTACATATTAGCCAAATGTTACAACCAGCACAGTGATATGCACCTCTCTCTCTCTCTCTCTCTCATTTTGGTTCCTGATGGAATTTTTGCTTCAATTTCTGTTCTTTTTGGTTCAATGAAGAAAGCATTTAGGTTTGATCTGTTTACTATCTCTAATTTTTGGATCCTAATGGAAATTCTTTGATTATATATGTTGTTTCTTCAGAGCACCAATGAAGAAAGCATTTAGATTTGATAGGTTTGATGTCAATGGTATGAATCTCTCTCTCATTTTGGTTTTGTTTTTGGTTCACCAAATGGTTTTCATCTATTTTGATTTTCTGATTTTTTATACGAGATGTGCAGTTGTTGTGACTCTTAATCCTTCAATCTTCTCCATCTTACTTGCTAAAGTCGAAAGTTCACATTAGTTTGGTTGTTTTTGGTCTTCCTGCTAACTACTTAGAACATGCATTTTAAGTTCAATTTTTGTTGGCTTGGCATTTCCCTTTTTTAAGAATCTATTTCATTTGTTTTAACTTTTCCCTTTATCCATTTTTCCCCCCTAATAATTGAACATATTTTTCATCTATGGGTAGCATTTCTTTTTCTACTTTGTTGGTTAAGCCAACCCCATAGTATTGAGTAGAAGGGAGATTTACAGTTTCATATTTCAACAATTTCATAAAGAAAGCATTTAGGTAACATACGGACTATTGTTGGTGGATTTAGCTTTATGCTCATACACTCTAAATGTAAAGGGAGAAATACAGTGTAACAGACTAAAGAAATAACACAATTTTGGAGATGTGAAGCCTGAAGGCTACACAGAGCTCCTACACAAACTTACTTGACACAAACTTCAATAAGATTGATACTTTCGATACTCACTTGATACACACACTTCATACACCTTTGACACACACTTGACACACACATTACATACAGTGGATACATCGCCTATTTATAGGCCATAATATTAACTCAACATTAAGCATAAACATAACCACTATACCCACTAAACCTCACTTTTACTTCAACTCATAAACTAGACATAATAGCTAAACCCTTTATATTCTAACTCTTCATTTCCTTAACTCCTGACCTTTGAAATTACCCCAAAAATCTCTCCCGTAATTTCAAAGCTTATTAACATAGATATTTTCCCCCCTTACTCTTCTTCCATGTCGCTTATGTTCACAATAGTTTGAGGCTGGCCAATATCATTTTCTTCTGGATTTTCATCTTGTGTTAACATTCCAATTTCTAGCTCTAGATCCATCACTTGATCTTGTAGCATCTCAATATCTTCCTGCAGCTTTCCACATTCAATCTTGAAATTCATCAACGCATTAAAGTTGACATCGAGTACTTTAATGATGTCCTGTTCAATCCAATAATTCAGACAAAAATATGCCGCCAAGTGTTCTGCCTCCTTCTTTGTGTTTTTCCACTTGCTTGAAAAATTCGGATGTGCATCTCCATAAAAAATAATATGACACATGAATTGCATTGCATAAGCCGGTCCCTTGGTGTAAGGGTACTTTTGTTCTAGCAGCCTGACGAATGGACTTGGGCTGCCGTAAAAAAAAGAAAATAAAGATCCCCCAAGTATCTGAGTTCGAAATCAAGCTCCCGAAAGAGTTTTCGAAAAGTCTGATGAAACTTTACAAAAATACTCTTAGGTTCTCTTCACCAATAGCCAAGTAAACATGATAAATCGATTGGTAGAAGGGGCCCCCTTTTATAGGCATGAAGAACCCTAATTTCATCTGGTCTTCTCCTTCCTTTTCCTTTGGCAGCTTCCTACTTAATCCTATTTTGGTGAAATTCTCCTCTCAAGGTGCATGGGTAAGGAACCTTTTGTGGTTCCAAGGATTTGACGAAGCTGGACCTCCCCATAAGGGTGAGGCACCACTTGCTTTCTCTCAACGCTTTTCAAAATAGAGCTTGCGACGGGAAAGAAGATGGATGGAGCTTTTGCCCGTTGGGTCTTCTTCCTACACTCATGGATTTCTATTTGTCCCTGTCATGGCTTCCTATTTGACCATCTTGGAGTCCTAACAAGGAGGGAGCACGGCGCCAGCTTTCTACAAGTCGCTGGGCTGGGCTTATGTGCAACATTGGGTTGTTGGCCTATTATTTCTAATGGGTTTTCGTCAAACTGCTGGAAAAGGCTTTTCTTAATTTTGGGCATTCTATTGATGTGGGTTGGGCTAAGTATTATGGTAGGCCACTAGATGTTTTCCTAAAGTATGGGACCATTTTCTCTTCTCTTTTATGCTAACTTGTGTGTTTGGGTTCTAGGAACGGGCTTGAGTTTTAATGCCCCCAAGTGGCTTAAAACTTGCGTTCCTTGAACCTTTAATGGGCCCTGTGATTGCTTGTTCCCTTCCATGCCACAACCTTCTCAGTAAGCCCTGGTTAATTTTGTGGCTTGGGCCCACTTAAGCTCGTGGCACGGCTTGGACTTAGAATAATGTCTTTTCTTGCATGATGCCTATGCTTGTGCTTCAGTTTTATTATGCCGTGATAGGCTATAATTGGGCCAAGTAACACCAAAGGGATATGTGAGCGTGGTTTTGTAATGTTGGCATGCTCTTGGCCCCTTTGTATGTGCTTGCTTGGCATGATACTCAGCTTGTAGCTTGTATTGGCGGATCCTACAAATTCTCTTTTGTCCCGATTGAGCCTCTTTTGCGTCCTCTTATCTGTGTTGGGCCAAGAATTAATTTGGGCTTAGCCCCTTGGATTTTTGGGCCTCAACACTTGGTTACAAAATTAAAACGTGGTTCAACATTAAGGTTGCGTGCAACTTTAATCAAAATAGGCTTGAATGGGACAACGATTGATATACTCATATTTTTCTTTTTCTGGCTGCAAGAGAGAATGCAATTAATAACCAAAAAACTTTACTTCATGAATAAATAAATAAAACACTCCATTTTCTTTCTTTTTTTTCTTCTGGGTGCACATTTGCCCCAATCTTCAAAGGAAACATTTTTCCTTTTTTCTTCGGCATCCTTGTGCCCTTCTCTCTTCATTCGGCATCCATGTGCCTTTTTCTTTTCCTTCGGCATCCTTGTGCCTTTTTCTCTTCCTTCGGCATCCTTGTGCCTTTCTCTCTTCCTTCGGCATCCATGTGCCTTTCTTTCATTTGGCATTAATATGCCTCTCACTTACAGCTAACACACAAAAAAACATTTTTTTTCTGACACATCTCAAGCCCATGATAAAACCTTTTAATAACAACAAAAAAACATTTTCATCATGCCAAAACAATTTAAATATAGAACCACAACCAAGACTTCATTCTACATGCCAAATATCATTTAAAAAATTGGACCATGCTCCAAACGCCTTATATGTGATACAGGTTCTTATAATCATATCAGCTCTGATACCACTTGTTGGTGGATTTAGCTTTATGCTCATACACTCTAAATGTGAAGGGAGAAATACAATGTAACATACTAAAGAAATAACACAATTTTGGAGATGTGAAGCCCGAAGGCTACACATAGCTCCTACACAAACTTACTTGAAACAAACTTCAATAAGATTGATACTCTCGATACTCACTTGATACACACACTTGACACACACATTACATACAGTGGATACATCGCCTATTTATAGGCCATAATATTAACTCAACATTAAGCATAAACATAACCACTATACCTACTAAACCTCACTTTTACTTCAACTCACAACCCGCATGTTCAAGGCCTAGCCCGTTGGATCCCGCATGTTCAAGGCCTAGCCCGTTGGATTGATCATGCTAGACCTCTTAGCCCACATGTCCAGATTCGTTGTACAGTAGTAGGTAGACTACAGTTGGTGACAGTAATTGGTAGATGCCGATAGGTGACATTGTATCTTAGCCACCTACTGTGGTGGTAGGTGGGATATGAACAATAAATAAGGAGGATGTCACATTGTGTATCCTCGCCTCACAACTTGTAAAGCATTTGAGTAGCAATACAAGCATATATTCTCCCAAACTTTCTTATCTTTCTTGCTCTTGCGATTGTTCTTTACGTGGTTCGATTTTGTGTTGTAGGAAGGAGGCTGACTTAGCTTGTTCGAGAGGCAATCAAGTCTAAGGCCGCATGGAAGGAAGACTCCGAAAAAGTCAATTTCCAAAGCTGAAAATGCAAAGGAAGCATGGGAAATTCTCTCATATACTGACATCTCAATTGTTTGATAGATGTGGAAAAGGGCCTTATTATCCTTCTTTCGATTTTCCTTTAATGCATTTCTTTGTGCTTGAGTGAGTGCAAGTTCATTTTCAGGTTCCTCATAGCCGTCTTCAACCATATTCCACAACTCCATGGATTTTAACAACACCTTCACATTGTTGCTCCAATAATCATAGTTGTCACCGTTGAATCGAGAAATAAGTGAAGCCAAATTGTGTCCATTGCTTGAATTTGCATTCAACTAGGCTCTGATACCACTTATTGGTGGATTTAGCTTTATGCTCATACACTCTAAATGTGAAGGGGGAAATACAATGTAACAGACTAAATAAATAACATAATTTTGGAGATGTGAAGCCCGAAGGATACACAAAGCTCCTACACAAACTTACTTGAGACAAACTTCAATAAGATTGATACTTCAAATACTCTACTACAACACACACTCTTGACACTCTTGATACACCCTTGATGCACCCATATTGTTTTTCATCTTCTTGCTTGAATCGACACTCTCTCATTATGTGGCCAGGCTTGTCACAATAATAACACTTGAAATAACCACATCCTCTTCCTCTTTGAAAGCCATTTTCTCTTCCCCTATATGATGATGAAGAACTGGAATTTTTCTCACCATCACTAGAATTGTTTGATGAGCCTCTTCCACTTTGAAAATTAGAATTTCTTCCTCTTCCTCTTCCGCCTCTACCACCTCTACCACGACCACGACCACGACCGCGATCGTAGCTCTGACTAGAACCAGTAGCTTGATTTCGATTGCCTCCCGTTGTAACTTGAGTCTTTAGAGCTTGATCCGATTGTGTGGGAGGAGGATTCCTCAAATTTATTTTGATTTCATGGGCCTCCAATTTTCCTTGCAAATCTTCTATGGAAAGAGCAGAAATTTCATTTGACTCTTCAATGGCAGCCACAACATAATCAAATTTCGGTGGTAAACTACGAAGGACTTTTTCAACAATTCTTGCATCTTCCAAAATCTGTCCATTTGACGACATTAGGTTAACAATTGTTGTAACCTTTGTGAAATACTTTTCAATGCTTTCACTTTCTTGCATCTCCAACTTCTCAAATTCTCTCCTCAAATTTTGGAGTCGAACCTTCTTCACACTTTGTTTGCCTTGATAGGTCGTCTGAATCTTTTCTCATGCTTCCTTTGCATTTTCAGCTTTGGAAATTCTCTCATATACTGACATCTCAATTGTTTGATAGATGTGGAAAAGGGCCTTACTATCCTTCTTTCGATTTTCCTTCAACGCATTTCTTTGTGCTTGAGTGAGTGCAAGTTCATTTTCAAGTTCCTCATAGCCGTCTTCAACCATATTCCACAACTCCATGGATTTTAACAACACCTTCACATTGTTGCTCCAATAATCATAGTTGTCACCGTTGAATCGAGGAATAAGTGAAGCCAAATTGTGTCCGTTGCTTGAATTTGCATTTGCCATTCAACTAGGCTCTGATGCCAATTTGTAGGAGGAGGAGAAATTAAAACAAAATAAATGGACACTAGTTTCTTTGAAGAATAGGCTCTTTCATATAATTCAGCACACTCACAAATAACAATGATAAAGGACCTATATAAAGACTTCTCTTATCATAACTGATTAACCTACTCTTATATCTTAGACTCTTCATCAACCCACTAACTCATAAAACTCACAATTTATTCAATTCATTAATACATGAAATCATTAAATTATAAAATAAGAAAAGACTCAACATAATGAAACTTCTTGAATGCAATAATGATGCATGTTTGGTTTAATTCTCCAACAATGCCTCCCGTAAACCAAACTTGCTTCTAACTCCCAATCTTGCAACATCTCTTTTGTAAATTTGTCCACCAAGGGGTTTTGTAAACACATCAGCCATTTGTTCATCTGTCTTGCAATACTCCACATGAATAACACCTTCATTGACAAGCTCCCTCAGAAAATGATAACGAATACGAATGTGCTTCGTTCACCCATGTAAAACTGGATCTTTTGAAACTGAAATTGCTGACTTATTATCACAAAACAAACTTGTGGGACCTTTTTGCTCATGCTTAAGACTTTCCAAAATTCCTCATAACCACAGAATTTGACATCCTGCATAAGAAGCAGCAATGTATTCTGCTTCCGTTGTAGAGAGAGCTACAATAGGTTGCTTCTTAGAACTCCAAGAAAAAACATCACTTCCAAGATTAAAAAAGTAACCAGAAGTGCTTTTGCAATCATCAACACTTCCTGCCAAGTCACTATCAGTATAACCAACAAGATTAATAGGAATATTTGCTTCATAGAAAATACCATAATCAACGGTCCCTTTGACATATCGCAAAATTCTCTTTGCAGCCTCCCAATGATTGGAATATGGATTTTCCATAAATCTGCTCACCAAACTTACTGAAAACATGATGTCTGGCCTTGTGGCAGTCAAATACATCAAATTTCCAACCAAACTTTGAAACATTGTAGAGTTCACAAGTTTTCCTTCACCATCTTTGCTCAATTTTAAGCCTGTAACACATGGAGTTGAGATTGGATTTGCATTCTCCATTCGAAACTTCTTCAAAACTTCCTTCGCATAACTCTCTTGCGAAATGAAAATTCCTTTTTTGGACTGGTTAACTTCTATACCAAGAAAATGATGCAGTTCTCCTAAATCTGTCATCTCAAATTCTCTCATCATGGAGAGCTTGAACTCATTCAACATATCAAGATTATTTCCGGTAAAAATCATATCATCAACGTAAAGACTTACAATCATGAAGCTTCCTTGTGAATTGTTTTTAATATAGAGAGTATGCTTATACGGAAATTTCTATAAACCATTCTTTTCAAAATATGAATTGATGCAGCTGTACCAAGCTCTAGGTGACTGCTTAAGAACATATAAGGCCTTTCTCAACTTGAAAACTTTCTTCTCTTCTCCTCTCTTTACATATCCATGTGGTTGCTCCAAGTAAACTTCTTCATTAAGAACACCATTCAAAAACGCAGACTTCACATCCATTTGAAACACCTTCCAATTATTTTGCGCTGCAAGAGAAATGATTAAATGAACGGTGTCAAGCCTAGAAACAGGAGCAAATACCTCAGTATAATCTTTTCCTTCTTTTTGTTTGTATCCCTTCGCCACAAGCCTCGCCTTGTATTTATTTATGGACCCATCTAGATTCATCTTTGTTTTGTACACCCATTTCACACCAATAGGATCCTTGTGCTCTGGCAAATCTGTGAGCTCCCATGTATCATTTTTTTCAATGGCTTTTATTTCTTCATCCATAGCTCTCTTCCATTTTTCTTCTTTGGATGCATCATCAAAAGAAATTGGGTCTTCTCCTGCAAAGAAGGCAAAATATACAGCTTCATTCGGCAAATCTACATGCCGAGCATATTCATAAATTTCTTCTAAACTTCTCATCTTTATCGGAGTTTGGGAAGGGCCTTCACTGCCATTTGTTGCTGGTCTTGGAGAACTTTGGGAAGAGTCATTGGTGGAGTGACAATAATCATCACTATCATCTTGAAGAGTTGATGATGCACCATGATCATAAAAATCAGAGTATTCATCAAATCGAACATCTCGACTAACCAAGAATTTCTTTGTCTTTGGATTGTACAGCTTGTAGGCCTTGCTTCTTTCACTATATCCAATAAAAATGCATTTCTCTGACTTGTCATCAAGCTTATTCCTCACTGCATCTGGAACATGAGCATAGGCAACACTTCCAAAAATTCTCAAATAATGAACACTTGGTTTCGTTCCATACTATGCCTCATGAGGTGTGCAATCATTCAAAGCTTTTGTTGGTGATCGATTGATCAAATAAATTGCACATGCCACTACTTCAGCCCATAATTCTTTCTGCAAATTTTTCTTCTTTAGCATGCTTCTTACCATCTCCATGATAGTTTGGTTTTTCCTTTCGCTCACATCATTTTGTTGTGATGTGTAACGAGTTGTCAACTGATGCATTATTCCATGATTTCTGCAATATTTTTCAAACTCATTGGAGAGATATTCTCCTCCATGGTCAGTCCTCAAAGTTTTAATTGGAAAACCCACAAATTTCTCAACCTCAGCCTTGAAATCTTTGAAAGCTTGAAATGCCTCAAATTTTTCTTTAAGGAAATAAACCCAAACTTTTCTTGAGAAATCATCAATAAATGAGATAAAATACTTGTTACCTCCATGAGATGTTACTGACATTGGACCACATAAATCAGAATGAACAAGTTATAGTGGCTTCTTTGCTCGCCATGAGGATTGTGCGGGGAATGAATTCCTATGCTGCTTGCCTAGTTGGCATTCTTCACAAACATCATCTATATGATCAATTTGAGGCAGCCCATCTACCATCTCTTTACTTGATAGCAACTTCAGACTTGCATAGTTCATATGCCCATATCTATCATGCCAAAGCTTGGAAATTCCCTTCTCAATACCAACAAAACAAGACAAATTTGTTGTCTGAAGTTTGAGCGGAAACAAATTATTTGCAACAACACCTATCTTTGCAACAATCTGATTTTTCTTTGACAAAAAACAAGTGCTGTCATGCAAGTTAATATCAAATCCTTTCTTCAAAAGGTGACCCATACTTAGCAAATTACTCTTTAAACCAGGAACATAATAAACTTCAGCCATCTTCTCAATTTTTCCATATTTGGATTTATAAGAGACTTCACCTACTCCCCTAATTTTATAGGCTCTAGTATCACCAATTGTTACTTGTCCATGATCAATTATCCCTCTGTTGATTTCATGGTCTGTTGTTGTTTTGTGTTTAGCTAATTTTAGTAGTGGATTAGGGTTTCTAAATGCCAGTTAATCACTCTAAATCTCAATGTTGTTGTTACTAATTAGTTGTGATTTTCCCCAAAAATATGTAGCTTAAGAGTCGATGAAGTACTCATCAATATGCGTGCTCAATGTTGTTGTTCTTTGAATCTATGTTTTGTTGTGATATTCGGATTTCTCATACATTAGACCATGTCTTCCTCTTTTTGTTTCAATGTTGAAAGCATTTAGGTTTGATATGTTTACTATCTCTAATTTTTGGATCCTAATGGAATTTCTTTGATTATATATGCTGTTTCTCCAGGGCACCAATGAAAAAAGCATTTAGATTTGATGGGTTTGATGTCAATGGTATGAATCTCTCTCTCTCATTTTGGTTTTGTTTTTGGTTCACCAAATGATTTTCGTCTTTTTTGATTTTTTGATTTTTTAAATTATTTTTCAGGGATTACTCTCTCTCTCTCTCTCTCTCTCTCTCTCTCTCTCTTCTGGACATTGTTAGTAAACTTTAACAAATTAACAAATTTCCTTCTCTCCATCTCTGCTTTTGCTTACCTAAATTGCATTTGTTTTTTTGGCATCCGCATATGGTTTCACTTTAATTTCTGATTTTTTTAAGCATGAACATGACTTGCAAGACACCCGCACTTCCTTTCTTTTTTTTCTTTTTTTTTCTTTTTCTTAGGTAACGCTCTGATTTCGTTCTGGAATGCCATTTTTATAGAAAATTATTCTCTCTTTCTCTCTAGGTGATTTTGTTATCCATTTCTTTTGCCTTTTCATTCTGGCTAAGCTTTTACTAGCAGCATTACCAAACCTCTCTTCGAATCCAAGTTTTTAGTCTACGTCTGTGGGGAATTTTTCAGCTTCCAAATTTTGCTTTAGTTTCCACACTGGCCACTGATTTGTGTTGGACTTTTTAGTGGTAGTTGCCAAAACCTTGGATTTGGAACTCAGTGATATTTATTTCAACAACTGAACATATTTTTCATCTCTAGGTAGCACTTCATATTAGTTTTTGGTTAAATAAATATTCAGTTTAAGTTTCATGCTTCATGATTTGTAATGTGACAATTCTTTTGTAGTTACTACAAAAGTAGTAAAATAAATTATCCCAACTATTCAAAAGTATATTTATGTTTGGCATCGTCTCATGTTGTGTACGAATTGAGCAATGAAAAGGTGAAAGATAAATTATAGAGAAACATGTGGCGCAAGTGTTACATTTGTATTGTTTTGGTTTCATTCTTTTGTTGTACTAATGCCTCATTGTCTTTTTTTCCCCCTCCACTTGAAGCAGTACTATTTGATATTGATGGAACTCTGTGTGATTTAGATCCCATTCATTTCAATGCCTTCCACAAAATGCTTTCATAGATAAAGTGATTGTTTTGTTTCCTACTATTCTGTCATAAGGAAAATATGGAGGATTTATCTGGTCATAATTTGACATTTTTCTTGGGTTTTATGGACTACAATGTGTTCAATTAGAAAGCATTAGTTCATTTGATGTTTTTAGTTGACTTGGTGATTTTCATTTATTTTCATTTTTTGCAAGATGTTAACAGTGTATAAGAGAGTTAAGAAGAGGCTGTGAATAGAAGGAGGTTCTTTGCAGGCTAGACAAGGGTGAAATTTATTTTTCTTTTTCTTGTTTTCGTTCGAAACTTTTTGTTCACTTATTGTCCTTGAATATTATGCTCAAAGTAGTTAACTTTTCGTTCAAAATGTTTTATTTGTGTTTCTTGATTTGAATGAAAGCTTGGTATTTCCCCCCTTTTTTTGGGTTTCTTTCATTTTATACTGTCTTCATATATTTTGCTCCACTGGTGATCAGAGACCCTAAAAAAACTACCATACAAATTTGATTAAACTTGGAATTTTCTTTTAAAATTTGTTCATAGCCAATTCCTATTATACCATTTTTAATAATTTGTACCAACAAAGTTAAAACCCCCGCAGAAGACAAGAAAGAACATAAACCACTTCTACAATAGAGCCAGCAAGAGATAGATCTCCTTTCAACAGACATCAAGGCAGAAAAATCTCCTTCCCCCACCAGTAGCATATATGTAAAGGCAAAATTGCTGATATTTTGTTGCTCCTTGGTTTATTAAAATATTGATCATATTTTAATAAACATGAAAAGCAACATATAAAACATGTTATCAGTCTTTATTTTGTAACTTGCTACATATTTTCACAACTTTGTACACATTTCAGATGATTTTAAAACCGGCAACATCGTGCTGGCACCTTTACTAGTAATTCCTAACATAGAGTGTGTTATTATTTATTTCCCATACAAAAATCTAAGTAATTTCTTTCATTTTATCAAAGAAGGGAAAACTTGAGATGTTATCTATGGGATGGCGCTGTCTAAAACTCAGTACTATGGTTTTTCCCCCCTGAACTTTGCACTGGACTACAGTCCCCCCTACCCTTACTCTAGTTTTTTCCTTGAATTACAATTTACATCCAAGTTTTTCTCCTTAGCGATAAGGGTCTTCAGCATGCACCAGGCTGATTCTGGACTTGCATTCGCTCAGAATGTACCTGCTAAATGTTCTAAGCATGCGAAGTGTTCCACATTTGGTCAATGGGCTGCAGGAATGTTACCAAGGCCTCATAATGCTGCTGATTATTTTGTGGCCCAAATACAAAATAGTTGTTCAAAATACAAAAAGGGTAACCTTCTAAAGTGAGGGTTTCAATCCTTTCATGCATGATGCATCCGACAAGTGAAATCTCTATCATGTTGTTTAATGCCAATGGTATGCTGTGCGGGGATTAGCGTTCTCGTTTGAAGTATGTAGATGTTTGTTACTCGAGAAAATACTAAAATTTAAAAAGGATGGAACTTGTAATTTGAATGGTAAAAAGTAATTAGTCATATGTCCAAAATTTAAGTTCAAATCCGATGGGGAAAAAATTACTTTTAAGAGTTAAAAAGAAATTTAGAGTACGGAACAGGTAAAAATTAGAAAGTATGAGTGTAGGCACATTCTTGGTGGCTCATCGAGGAACTTAACTTATTATGATTTATTTTATCCCATTTATATCACTTGAGCTACAAAAGCTTATAGCTATTTTGATTGTTGAGAGTTGATTTCACATCAATGAGTAGTCTTGCATTAGACTTTAAAGGTTCTTGAGTCTCTAAGCGTATTGTCATTTCGTTATAAGTTAACCACTATACTAGTTGATCCTTTGCCTATAACTACACTTTTTAAGTGTATAAACCAAACCGAAATTTAAAATTTGACCTATTTGAACGGTTGTGAGATTTTTTGCCGTTCGCTAATTTGAAAAACGGCTATTTGCTAGTGGCTAGAGTCCAACTTTTGGCTTTTTTGTTGTGTCCTACCGTTGTTGTTAGTTAGCATGTCACTTCGCAAAACAGGCAATGCCTATATGAAATGGTAAAACCAACTTCAGTTGAGGCCTTTTGGCATTGGCTACCCGCAGCATCTCAACTAATTAGCACCGGAATCAAACGAACTAGAAGTTAACCTTTATATTATCAAATTAAGTACAAGTTAACCTTAATTATATTATCAAATTGCACATTAACCCATTCTGATTCCTGGGCGTCCCCAAAATCTTAAAAAAGATGCTTCTGCATTTGCATCATGACCAAACACATGTTTTGTCACTTGCTCTGTTTTTCTATTGCACAAAAACATAGTAAATTACGAACTATATGTGCTCAAATTTTTGTCCAAGGACCACTGGGCATATTCTTGGCTAAAATCCTTCCACAATGAAGACAGATCAATCAACCTCCAAACTTGGATATAAATTGAACCAACCAGGTGGTTCAATCTAAATGAAAACAACAATCAGATCAAACCTCCAATAGCAAACAAAATGACAACTTTTTCACCAAAAAGTAGCTTCATTATTTTGGCCCTCATTATTTCCCCATCTGTTTCGGCAACCAGAGCCTCAAAATTCCAAGCAGAGAAGCCATGCAAGAGGATGGTGCTGTATTACCACGACAAGCTGTTCGATGGCACGGAGAAGGACAAGGCTAATGCCACGTCTGTAACCGCGGCAAATGCAAGCAAGCTCAGCGACACTAATTTTGGCATGCTTGTTGTTTTTAATGACCCCATTACCATCGACGACAAGTTTCATTCTCCGCCCGTGGCAAGAGCTCAAGGCTTCTATTTCTATGACAGGAAAGACACCTACACGGCTTGGTTTGCGTACACTTTGGTGTTCAACTCAAGTGAGCACAAGGGCACGTTGAATATTATGGGCGCCGATTTGATGACGGAAAAAACTAGGGATCTTTCGGTTGTTGGAGGGACCGGAGACTTCTTCATGGCTAGAGGAATTGCCACATTTCAGACAGATACTTTCCAGGGTTTATATTATTTTCGCCTCAAGATGGACATCAAGTTGTATGAATGTTATTAGTTCCACTAGGGTTCAAGAATGTCTTTCGTGTGATAAATGTGCATGTATAATATGTCCTTTTCATAATAACTGATCATATGATTTTAATTCAAATGAGGAGGGCAGTTGATTGTGAGAGAGATGTTATACATATCCCTAGTGTAAGAAAAGCTCGTAAGGTTGACATTGCTAGTCAGAGATTTCCCCGAGTGTTACAAAAATAGTTCTACTTGTGTTGGAATCTCACTAATAAGAGAGAGGATATAAGGAAGTTAGGATTGGTAGTAACCTTAATTACTAGCGAAACTTCTCGTTTGCCGAGGTGTAATTGCAAGGAAAATTTATCCATTTTATATAATTTTGATAGATAAATTCCAACCACCAAACATTAGCATTTGCATTAACACACTGAATTACATATAATTCGAATTCTTTTATAAATAATGCTACGAATGATCACATCTTTATTCATCAAATTATATGAAGAGAGTATCGTTGAATTTTTTTAATTTGATGGTAGGTGAAAATATATAAGGTGGGTGGAGAGGAAAAAAATTACATAAATGGAAATAGCATCATTCTCATTAGGAGTGGGCACGATCCGGATTGGTTCGGTTTTACCCTTAAACCACAGCTGAACCAATAAGAAAAAAACAGTTCGATTTGGTTCGTATTAGCCTAAAACCATAATGAAAACCAAACCAATCCAAACCACTTGTAATCGGTTTGGTTCGGATTGGTTCGGCCGGTTTGTGCCTAACACAAAAGCATGCATTTTTCAACCTGCTCTTACATTATAATGCTAACATTTTGCCATTATATCATTCCATTCCATCAAAGGCTAACACAACAACATTCCATTTAATCAAAAGCTGTCCAATTTCCAGCATGCATCTAATTTCCATCAAAACATTCTAAAGTTCATAATAAATGAATACAAGATGAACTATGAAATGAAAGGCTGCCCAAAATACAAGTTCATAATTTCCATTTAATCAAAAGCTGTCCAGTTTCCAGCATGCATATAAGTTCACAATTTCCATCAAAACAAACATTCTAAAGTTCATAAGAAATGAATACAAGACAATAAAACTAAGAAATGGAAAGGATGCCCAAAATACAAGTTCATAATTTCCATTTAATTAAAGGCTGCCCAATTTCCAGCATGTCCCCATACTGCACATAAAAGTAATTTCAATAAACACAAATTTTAGGATACAAGATGATCACAATAAGAAATGAATAAGAAAATTACCATAACTGTAAGGTTGTGCATCAATAGAGAATCAATTAGTGAAATTAAAAAAGAACATAAATGAGAAATTAAAAATCCCAAACACAAAACAAATAAGTAAAAGAAAACCCAACAATTATCACACACCATTATCCAGCTTTCAAAACTGAGCATGGCATCTTCTGTGATGCAGTTGGATGCTCTGCTATTCGTTATATATACAAAAGGGTTAGAGAGAGAGAGAGAGAAAAAAAGGGAAGAAAATGTGGGAAAAGAAGGGAAACGACGACGCAGTGTGACTGTGAGAGGTTACTGGAGTTTACTCCAATCATGGAGAAAACAATGCCAATATCAAGATGAAGGTAAAGGACCAGAGACCAGAGGGCAGGTGTGCAAATCAAATTTATTCCATTTAATAATAATATTAATTGTCTTTTCCATTGTTTGCATATACTTTGCCCACATGTGTTCAGTGCCAAAGTACAGAACTAAAAGCTACTCATCTTGTTTTTCAATTCATATTGTGATTCACAATGTGAAAAGTGAAAAAGAAAAAAGTTTGCACAGCACGTATAATCAGATTGGCAAAGCTAAGGAATGAGTTTGTTTTAATGGTAATCTTTACCAAGAACAAAACATTTCAAACAAATAAAACCACGTATAATCAGATTGGCAAAACTGGTTATCTAAACATAGAAATTAGTTGAGCATAAGCTGCAAAGAAATTAGATAAATTAGAATAACTCACCATCACTGGCACTAAGTTAGCTTCATCCATCGGGCTTGGTTCCAACCACAGGTTCGAATAAGATGCTTCCTTGCAAGAACTCTGTCTGAGAGTTCAAATCAGATCTAAGAGGAGCACGTTTGAATCAATGGAGGTGCGACGTCAAGGATGGAGGTGCGACGCCGACGATGGAGGTGCGATGTCGATGATAGAGATGCGACGCCTACGAGGTTTTTGCTACGCCGACGAGGTTTCTGCTACCCTGACGATGGAGGTGCGACGTCGACGAGGTTTGTGCAGTGTGAGAATGGGTTTGATTGAAGCAGTGGAGGTTGTAGTGGTTCAAATCAATGGTGACTTGTCTAGGGTTCCAATGGGTTAAGTGAGGATGAAGAGCTGAGATGGGGCTGTGTATTCAACGAAGATGAGATGAGATGTGAGAGAGTTGTAAGTTGTTTCAAGTCCAATTCAGTGTGGCTGGGTATACACTAACACATCTAATTAGCCACTCACCAATTGACACATGTAAACTGTTGGCGAGTCCATACTTAGTTAGGTTTTGGGTTCCTTACTATGTTAGGATTTTGGTTACTTACCCATTTATCTAGTCCTATTATAATTGAGATTTATTTCCTATTGTAATTTATATTTATTTTCTATTGTAATTTGGATTTATTTCCTATTTTATTTAGGGTTAACACATCTTTATACTTGTATAAATACCTCCATATTGGAGAAGAATAATAATATGAGTGTATCTTAGCATAACTGAATATTTGCCCTACTTTGTTTGACTTGGTATCAGAGCCAGGTTCTCTTGTGACCTATGCTTGCATTCTTCTTGCAATTTAAGTGCTCTCCTCCCTTCCTCTTCAAGGGGGGGGAGGGGGAGTGAAAAAGATCTATTTCTCATTCCCATGAAGATATTGCCTATTTCTTGAGTCCGACGACCCCTTCTTTTCAAGGGGAGAAAGGGAGTGAAGAGAAGTTGTGTCTACATGAATTAGGTAAAGTAGATATGGAGGAATTCTCCTTCACTTTGGCTGTTGTTATCGTTGTTGTTGTTGTGGTCGATGTTGCCATAATTGATGTTGCATTTGCTTGCTTTGCTTTTCGTTGATGTGGTCATTGTCGTTGTTGTTGCTGTGGCCTTGCCCTTTGACTTTATGTTCTAATCCGTCTCTACCTTAACCCCAAACACTACCTATTTTTGTTACACTATACACCTAGCCTATAATCCTAGCCCGCCACCACTATCTATCTTGTTGCCATGTTGCCGCATACCTTGCTCCTGTCGTGTCTATGTTCTGCCTATCTACTGCTGTGCTCATAGGGCTTTTGTGTTCTGCCTTATCTACTGTTGTGCTCATAGGACTTTTGTGTTATGCCTTATCTACTACCGTGCTCACAGGGTTTCTGTGTTTTACCTATCTACTGTCGTGCTCACAGGGCTTCTGTGTTCTGCCTTATCTACTGTCGTGCTCACATGGCTTCTGTGTTCTGCCTTATCTACTGCCGTGCTCACAATGTTTCTGTGTTCTGCTATGTGCCCATTTTTTAGGGTTTGCTCTTGTGTTTCTGCTGCAAACTTTGCTTTAGTTTGTCACTTGTTTTACTCGTCGTTGATGAAAAGACCTTCTCTACACTTGGTGTTTCTCAAGTATGTTGTTCTATGACTCGCTTGTCAAGTTGGGCGTGCGAAATATCTTTGCCCAACTTGAGGGGGAGTGTTGGCGAGTCCTTACTTAGTTAGGTTTTGGGTTCCTTACTATGTTAGGATGTTGGTTATTTACCCATTTATCTAGTCCTATTATAATTGAGATTTATTTCCTATTGTAATTTATATTTATTTTCTACTGTAATTTGGATTTATTTCCTATTTTATTTAGGGTTAACACATCTTTGTACTTGTATAAATACCTCCATATTGGATAAGAATAATAATATGAGCGTATCTTAGCATAACTGAATATTTGCCCTACTTTGTTTGAATTAAACTAATATATATATAATTAATTAATATTTAAACGGTTTGGTTCGGATTAGCACAATTTTCCAAAGCTTAAAACTACAGCTGAACCAAAATACTCCGGTTTGGTTTGGATTTTAAAACTGTTGACTTTTTTAAAGTCAAAACCAAACCAAACAGGAAAAAATGGTTTGGTTCGGCCGGTTTGGTTGGATCGGCCGAATTGATGCCCACTCCTAATTCTCATGGAGAAACAGGAAAGGAATGCGAATATCGCTACTCTCATATGAATGTACACTTGTTAGTATCTTACTAGTTAAAAACAAGCGAAGTTCAAATATAACGCATATTTGAATTAATGAATTACATTAATTGTCACATAATTCAGTGAATGGAATTTAGTGATCGTAAGAATACACTATTATTTCACTAAAACGAAATATTGTCAGGGTTATATTACCCAATATAAAAACTATGTATGTTCTAACTGTAATTGATGCGGTAGGTGAGAATGAAGTTCATATAGAATGGCTTGCTATTATTACCTTTTTGTATATTTTTGAAACGAAGAGAATTATTATTCAAACAAAACGCACACACAACACAAGCAGCCAAGAGCTACACACTAAGCTACCAAGTTTCCTTCCACAAGAAACAAATCATAAACTCAAAAACTAGTCAATCACAATATAAATAGAAGCTAGCAACGCCAAACATGACAAGGATTTCCTAACTCCGATCGTGCCAGCAAACCCTCACTTATAAATTTCAAAAGTGCAAATTTTAAATATCTGCAAGAATTTTCAACTGATTATCTAAGCGACGAATTTATGGCTACTTGTGTTTCTTCTTGCAGTCTAACTTGATGGCTTGATTTCCTCTTTATGTTGCTATTACGATGAGCCACCTAAGGGGAGGTTCCAATATTCTCTTATCTGTGTTGTCTAGCTGCTACACAATTATTTAAAAGATAGCAGTATATTCCTTAATATTAGGCCCCATTTGGTTCATAGGAAAAGAGACTTGGGGATGTAAAATCAATTGTTTTCCCATGTTTGGTAAGTCCAAGCATGGGAAATCGCTGCCTGGCCCATGAGAAAGTAGGGGGAAAGTGAAGCCATCCTCCCAACTTGAATTTTGTTTTCCCTCTTCATGGGAAAGTTTGGGAAAATGAGCCAATATTAAATAAATATTTTTCATGACCATTTTGTCCTCATTAACAATTTAGAACTACAATATATCATTAAATGCATTCTTTTTTTTATTTTTTATTTATATATATTTGATTTAATATGGATATAATTAAAATTTTATACAAACTTTGTTTTTCATTCCTACTTAAAACAAACATGAGAAATGAAATAAAGTGATATCTTCCGATTACTTTCCCAGTATTACCAAACGTGAGAAAAGAATTCCATTTCCCATCTATTGGGAAATGAAATAAGGAATTATTTCTCCTCAAATTCGTTCTGTGAACCAAACAGGGCCTTATTATTCCACCAAACAGAGATTAGGTAATCAAAAAGGCCAATCTTGATCAACCCCAAGCACACGACTTGATTTCTTGGGGGAAAAAAAAAAGCACATGACTTGATTTCTTGGGGAAAAAAAAAGCACATGACTTGATTAAACCCTGCCAGCCTAGACCTTTCATTTTTTTTAGTAGTTACATTGGAGGAAAGAAATCCCATTAGATTCGATCCTTGTGCCATGCGAGAGGAGGTGGAATCCACCAACCATTTACCTAGACCTTTCATTTTCAATAAAGAATGAGAAACTTATCACCCGAAAAAAATAACTAAAATATGTAAGAAATTATTGGCACCACACTACACTACAGTTGAAATCAGAATTTTCTGCACAGCGCGATAATTAACTCAATAAATTAATATATTTTATTTTATTGATTAGGTATGTCAACCTAAAAAAGAATTATTATACTTCAACATTGGAAATGACGATTAATTGGACTTGGAGTTGGGAATTAAGTCAGTTGTAGGGCAGTGCATACCGACGATCCATCCTCTATTGGCCACTTATTAGATATTATTTTTTTTTTTTTTTTTTTTTTTTTTTTCCTTACAAGTAAGTAATACTAAAAAAGAGACGAGCGATTTTAAGTATAATGATAAACACTTTTAATCATTTAAGATAGTCTTTTTTACTTTATAAAAATGGTTAATTTTGCTAATAACCTAGTTAAAGGGGTTATTTTTTGAAGAAAGGTAACGAAATATTTTGGATGTCTTTTTCTTTCCTTATTAATGGTCAATTTTTTGTTATTTTAAATGTTAAGAGGTACACTTGACTAACTTGAGCTTGGACTTATTAGAGCTCACCTACCATATATTCGAAGAAGTATATTATATGTCACTTTTCATTTGGACCAGCTCTCAAATATAAATCAACACCTACCTCCACCAATCTCCCACCAGAATGGAATGCAAAAAGGTGCACAAATTTGACAATCATGGGACCCCAATCAGTTGTCTTGTTTCCAGCGAAGGCTAATAATATGCCAATTTATTAATTTGAGCAGTTTTGTTTTCTTTGTTGTGGTGAACCAAAACATGTTAAGAGTTTAAATTCTTTAGATTCTACATATCACATATTAAAAATTTGATTATAATTGACAACTGTAATGCAGAGAGAGAGGAGGATTGAATTTGGGTATAAGGAGGCGAACACACTATCTTGGCCAACTTACTTAACTCACATTTGTAGCCGATGCTAAATTTTTAGCATTTGGCAAGGAAAAATTGATTCTCTAAATTATTAGCTTTGGTAATTATGACTTGGGACTTTTACAGCGGTTTTCAATTTGGCCTCGTTGCTGAAGAGTGAATGGTTCCTCCCTATACCTTTATACTCAACAATACCAGTGGAGTTTGAGCCCAACTCTTTTATTATATTTAGCAGCCTGTCCTGGAAATTAAATTTAATCTCGTTCTTGTCGTGCTCCTCATGATGCAACTTGAACAGAGTCAATCATAAGTGGCTAGCTTTTGCTTAAAAAAATATTTCATACGAAATACATAATTGAGGAGCTACCAAACAGAAGAAGTAATTATATCAAAGCATAACGCACCAATAAAATAAACTTTTTATTTCTTTATTTTCTTTATACGCTTCATAAAAAGTTTCACAGGAAAAGGAAGGAGTTGTTCATGTATGTTGTTAGCTGAAACTTCCCGCAACTACTTGATGCTATGGTTCGTGTCAGAAATGTCAATCACATAAGACGAGAGCTTCCCTTAAAAAGTTCGTTCTTTAGAAATCAATTTGAAGGAAAAAGTCCCTAGTCACTATCTCCTTGGACCCAGAAAAAAGGGATGTAGAGAAAAGTTTTCATGGGTGATGCTGCCTACTTAGGGAGTCAAACTAAGGCTGTGTTGCTATTTCTTAATCATGTTGGTTATTTTCTCGGTGAGGTACAATAGTAGTAGGTGGCAAGCTCAATCAAGAGGAAAAGTCTAATGAGAAAACCTTCGAATCCTTATCTCCATTCAAATAGCAACTCCATGTGTAGAAAAAGATATATTTCTAGCTTCCAAGTCCTTATATAAAGGCATGAGTTGGGAGAGATATAGCAAACTCACAAGTAGAGCTAGAAGCAAAAGCTCACCCTAGTGAACTTGGAATCTTCCAATTTTCCTTTTTCTCTCTGCCTCTTCTGCCTCTTTGCTTCTTCTTTTTTTTCATCACCCATAATGGCAGCAAGAAAAACCTCTGTTCTTCTTTTCTTCTTCATGTTCCTTGCTTTATCTTCAGCCTTCCCAAGAAATAAAAACAAGTACAAGCCATGCAAGCACTTGGTGCTATTCTTCCACGACATTATTTACAATGGTAAAAATGCTGCCAATGCTACAGCAGCAATTGTAGCAGCTCCTCAAGGAGCCAATCTAACCATCTTGGCGCCCCAATTTCATTTCGGAAACATAGCGGTTTTCGACGATCCCATCACCCTTGACAACAATCTGCACTCCAAGCCTGTTGGCAGGGCTCAAGGGATGTACATATATGATACAAAGAACACATTCACTTCTTGGCTTGGCTTCTCATTTGCTCTGAACAGCACAGACTACCAAGGCAGCATAAATTTCATTGGGGTCGATCCCATTTTGATTAAAACTAGGGACATATCTGTGGTCGGTGGCACCGGAGACTTTTTCATGCACCGGGGAATCGCAACCATCAACACCGACGCATTTGAAGGTGAAGTCTACTTCAGGCTCAAGGTGGATATCAAGTTTTATGAGTGTTGGTAAATTTGAGGTAGTTACATTAAGTATAAGGGCTTTTGGTATGTGAGAACTGAGAATGGTCTTGAAATATGTTGTGTGTCATGGAGTGCTTATAATTTTAGAGTTTGCTAAGCATGAGCTTAGTCCATCAATAAGTAATTAAACAATCACCCTTGTACTTTCAGATCCTTTTATACTTAACATAAAGAAGCTGCATTTTGATTTTGTGCATGGATTTTATTTTACTGATAATGCAAGAGAACTGAAGTTACTAAAATCTTATATGACTAGACTTGAAGTTCAAGAGCAGAGGTGGTTTAATTAGCACCTATTCGTGATCAAGGGATGATTAAAATTTAGCATTGAAGGCTGCTACACCAGTACCATGAACGTGGGGAAATAGTTGAACAACAACAAAACATAAACAGGAGATTAAATTAATTAGGATCACATCAAGAAAATAGTAGATCATATATATGTACTCCAAACATTTAGCATGACATTGAGATTTTTCAGGGCTTTCTTTCATTTCCAAGTGTCTATATCTAATACGAAGTAAAAACAATCACATCAATCTTTTGCAAAGCAGATTATGAGTCCTGAAAAATATGAAGGGCTTAGAGGCAACTTGAGGACTTATTAGTCAAAGAGATTGGTGAGGGAAAGGATGAGTTGGACTTGGACTGTCTCACCCTCCTTGTGCCCAAATCAATATCCACATCCAATTGATTATGTCTTCATGCACTGCACCGTTGCATCTCAAGTGTGGGGGCAGTCCTTTTTTTTAATAATTTCTTTATAGCGATATTCTAAACTAGTACTATAATGTATGGGAAGAGGAATTGAATTTGAGTGTAAGGGTACAGGCAGACTACCTTGCCAACATGCCTAACCCCCTCTGCTCTTGGGGGGGGGGGGGGGGGCAATTCCAAAAAATTTCCTTTTTTTTTTTTTTTTTTTTTTTTTTTTTTTTTTTTTTTTTTTTTTTTTTTTTAAAAAGGAGGGGAGATTCCATATTGATTTATTTCTACTACTAACTCTAATAGGGAAGGGAAGATCGAATGTAAGAGGACGGGCATACTCAGCCTACGTGTATTTCTTAAGCAATTCTGGCTTTCTCCACTTGTTAAAAATTTAGCCCGGAAAATGTAAACATGAGATGACTTTAGTAAAGGACACGCTCACTCACCCATTTCAAGAGTGCTCTTTTGTTTTTAACGTCTGGAAAAAGAAAAAAAAATTGGTGTGATTTTCTTTACCTTCAGTGGTTGCTTGTGTTTCCATGCTTTCAATTCTTGGTTGTTGAAGGTGATAGTGTAGGTGGAGGAAAAGAGAAAGAAACAAGCTTTTTAAGAATTTGGGGTGACCCTACTCTGCCAAAGGAGGCGACGGAATGAAAAATTTAATAGCTGCGGAATGGCAGAAAAACTTGTGTGCAACGGGGATAGCATTGTTTTGCTATTCCTAGCTAATCACAATATTCCAAGTGGAAAAGTTATCCCAAATGGCATACAGGAATTAGTCAAGATAGCAAAACAGTAGTATTCTTGTTTCACGAGTGTTTCTTACGGAATGGGTAAGGCTCTCCAAGGGGTTTACTATCGAATTGAAATACTAATAGGAAATATGAAGAATAAAAATATATTAAAAAAACATTAAAAAAATGAAGACAAGTATGAATATCAGCTCCCGAAAAGCATATGCCTCGGCTTTTCTTCTTCTTCATGTTCCTTGCTTTATCTTCAGCCTTCCCACCAGAAAAAAAGAAAAAAAAAGGTGCAGTTCTGTGCATTAATTTCAACAGTTGATATGTGAGAACTACGAATGGTCTTCAAATATGTTGTGTTTCATGCAATGCTTAAAATTTTAAAGTTCGCTAAGCATGTGCTTAGTCCACCAATAAGTAATATGATTAAACATTCATGATGGCTGCCTGAAAACATTCATGAGGAAACAACTGCATGAAAACTTCCAGAATAGTAGCATTCATATGGCCACTCATATCTTTCATACCAAGGGGGAAAAGATAGACAAACCAGAGGGCTTCAATTATACAGGTGTAAAAAAAAAATTGAAGAAAAAAACTTCAATCATTGACCATAAGGTCACTAAAACATCCACACATGTACATCACAATACAAAAAGAAAAGGAAAAGTCTTCATACATCAAGTCGGATTGACTGGACGAAATACCTCAAATGGTCCTATCCATGAGATCTGCAATTGTTAGGAAGAAAAGAGAAATTATATACATATATTGTTATTAAGAGACTAAGCAAATAGGTTAATCTAAAACCATACTATCGTTCAAATTTTGAACTGAAAAAAGAAGAAGAAGACGGAAATTCAACTTTCATCAAAGCGTCCACAATTTGGATTTAGAATAACTAAAGGCATAGCAACATTCAGTATGAAAACCAAAAATAGCACAACCAAGAAGAGATCAATAAGTATATATCATTGTTACCTAATTTGCCGTCGTTGACCATTGAGTATGATCTTTGGGACATGAGCGATCTTGGACCAATCCTCACCTTCATGCCTGCATCTCCTAACTAAAGGACAATTGCTAATCTCCAACTCTCTCAATGCAGTGAGGCGATCCATGCCCTCGGGAAAAGCAAACAAATGGGAACAATATGTAATCTTTAGTTTTTGAAGCGAAGTAAAGTTTTGAAACCATTCCGGAAGTGACTGTAGATAGGTACAAAATCCCAACTGTAATGTTTTTAGTGTGTTTGCAGACTCTTGCAACCAATGAGGCAAGGCCGTCAAATTCGAACCTACAATCCAAAACGATTGAAGACCTCGAATGCCTTCTGCTGACCCCGTCAGATTTAGCTTTGGGCAACTATAGATGACTAAAGTTTCCAATGTGGTCATGTTACTAGATGACAAGGATTCTAAGTTTTGACAGCTCACAATGACTAGCATTCGAAGGTTAGTGAGGGATCGCATCTCTTTGCCCAAAGATTTAAGATTCTTGCATGCACTGACGCATAAAGTTCGAAGAGAGGTGAGACGTCCAATTGCTTCTGGCAAATGTGTCTTATTTATGGTTAAGGCCAAGTACCTAAGGCTAATCAGATTTCCCATGTCCTCAGGCAACTCCTTGAGTTTTCCACAGTTTATAAGGAGCAAGGATTGTAAATGATGCAGCTTGCAAATGGAATCAGGAAGCTTATTTATATGCTGATTATATGACACATCGAGATACCTCAAGTGACTCAAGTTACCGATGGAACATGGCAGCACCTTAAGAGTCAAGTTACTAAGATCCAGCACTCGTAGGTAGTTGATTCTTGAGATGCATTTCTTTAAAAAAGATTGACTGTTGATCCCAACTTTTATTGGAACATATTCACTGTCCAAATCTGGAATTAGAATGGTTCTCAATTTCTCCAAACGAAGTAAGAATTTGGGGTTTTCTTCATTTTCCTTGGACAAGTCCTTCTGAGATATTGACACATGCCGAACCATCTTAGACGAATCAGAGGGACGAAAATTTAGAGACGAATACTCTACCCTTGCCATTGAGATTGCTAAATCATGAACTAGGTCATGCATTCTAAACCGTAGAAAAAGGAAATCATCTTCCTCAATCTGAAAGAAATACCTAGAACATAGTTGCCTTATGTAGTCCAGACCAATATCTTCAAGGTCTTGGTTCCCGTTTCCTTTGGAGGATTGAATGAAGCCTTCAGCCATCAACAACGGGATCAATTCTGCACTTCTAAATACGTAGTCCTTTGGATAAAGTGAACAAAAGGCAAAACAAGGTTTCAAGTAGATCGGCAATGCATCGTAGCTTAACTTAAGAGCAGGTAAAATGTCATCGCTTCCCTGTTCCAATTTCCATATGTCACTGTCTCTAACATGTGACCAGTATCGCTCATCCTTGTTCGAATAGAGCAAGCCCCCTAGGGTGTACAAGGCAAGAGGAACCCCTCCACACTTCTTCACAATATCTTCCCCAATTTTTATTAACTTGGGATAGTCTCCCTGTTCTCTTTTTGTAAATGCCACTTTTATGAATATAGTCATGCAATCTGAGTGGGGAAGGCCCTTCAGTAGATGCCTGTGTGCATGCCCCATAAGCAATGCAACAGATTCATTGCGTGTTGTTACAATGATTTTACTCCCATTGGCTACCACATTTAACAAAGACTTCAAATCAATCCATTTCTTCACTGTGATTCCCATTGGCCCCTTGTCCCAAACATCATCCAACACCAACAAAAGTTTCTTACATGTCAAAGCATGCCGCAGCTTAATTTGCATCTGTTCAATGCTTTCATCCACACATTTTTGGCTTGTTGCAGCAGTAACAATTTCTCGAAGCAATCTTTTATTGTCGAAATCGTCTGAGACGCACACCCATATTCTCAACTCAAAGTTCCCTACTACTCTGTTATCATTATACACCAGTTTCGCAAGTGTTGTCTTTCCCAAACCTCCTAACCCATTAATGGAAATAACAGAAACATTCTCCTCCCCATGACCAGTGCGATTGGCATTAAGAAGATGCATGACCATCTCTTCTTTATCTTTATCTCTTCCAATCACATCCGGGGCATGCACAAAAGAGTGGGTCTCTCTCTCTATGTGCATCCCTTGCCAATCTGCAGCTCGTTCATACAGATTGAACTGAGCTTTTGCAGCTGCAATTTCACCCAATCTTTCTCTAATATCTTTGATTCTCTGACCAATTTTGTAGCTTAACATAAAGGAATTTGGACGTGAAAAGAAGTTGCATACCTTTCCTTTGATATTGCTCCGAGAGTTGAGCACTTGCATCCTCAATTTTCGGAATTCGAAGTGGTCGAGAACATCATCCATATCATAGCAAACATCTTTTAGCTTCCCTAACCAGTCAGCAAGCAGGGGATCCTTCCTCTGTTTTTCCTCTGCATCTAGGACCACTTTTGCGATGGTTGATAAGGTTTCTTGGAGCTTGATTAGATCATCGTCGACATCCAAAGCCAAACGAATTTCTTGGTAAGCATGGGAAGCAAGCCTTTCCAACACTTTCTCAACAACGTTGAAGGAAAATGACTCCATGGTAGCTTCAGGAAGAAGCAGAGTTATGCCATGTGTATCTGCGTATGGTTGCTAGCTAATGCTGCTTTCCTTATGTTTCTTTTTGGAAGAAGAACCAGCTGTGAGCCTGTAAGATTCCGATAGCAATTTCAAGGAAACACAGACAAAAAATAATTGAAGTGCAGGAAGGGGCCCACACGCGGTCTTCGTCTTTGATTGTGCTCTTTTGTTGCTTCGGCGTTATATGAAATTCAACATTTTCACACCACTTACGATTTTCTTACATTTCTTACAATCATGATCATTTAAATAAACCAATTTGATGGCAACGCGTCAACAACCCCATTAAAACAAACAATATTTTTCCCCTATTTCAAGAGTTCTCTTTTGTTCTTTTGGTCTACCTTGAATAGTAAATATAAAGAAGAAAATTATATATTTTTTTAAAAAGAAAAACGTTAAAAAAACATTGTAGAGGAGTGTGAAAATCATCTCCCAATACCAAAACACATAAAAAGGAGTGGGGAGTAACTTTGGAATATTCCAATTTCCTTTTTCTCTCTGCCTCTGCTTTTTTTTTTCATTTCATAATCCATAATGGCAGCAAGGAATTCCTCTGTTCTTGTTTTCTTCTTCTTCTTCATGTTTCTTTCTTCATCTTCAGCCTTCCAAAAAAATATAAACAAGTACAAGCCATGCAAGCACTTATTAAGCTCTATGAGTGTTGGTATGTGAGAACCGATAATGGTCTTGAAATATGCAATTAAACATGGAGTGCTTATAATTTTAGAGTTTGCTAAGCATGAGCTTAGTCCAGCAATAAGTAATTAAACAGTCACCCTTGTATTTTCAGGTCCTTTTATTCTTATATATTACATATAGCTCTGTTTGACAAAGAAGCTGCATTTTGATTTTATGCCTGGATTTTATTTTACTGTTAATGTAAGAGAACTGAAGTTACTAAAATCTTATAAGACTAGACTTGAAGGCTGCTACACCAGTACCATAAAAGGGAGAAATGATAGTTGAACAACTGCAAGATAAAAACAGAAGATTAATAAGACTACCAGATTTTGGGATAGGGGATGTACTTAAAACATTTAGCCTGACACTCAGTTTTTTCTGGCCTTTCTTTAATTCCAAGTGTCAACAATCACATCAACCTGTTGAAAAGCAGATTATGAATTCTAAAAAATATGAAGAGCTTAGGGGAAACTTGACGACTTAATAGTCAAAGGGATTGGTGAGGGAAAGAATGAGTTGGACTTGGACTGTCTCACCCTCCTTGTGCCCAAATCAATATCCACAGCCAATTGATAATCTCTTCATGCAGTGCAAGGTTGCATCTCAAGTGTGGGGGGCAGTTCTTGGGCAATTAATTAATTAATTTGTTTTAATAGTGATATTCTAAACTAGTATGCTATACGATAATGGGGATCGAATTCAAGTAAATGGTGCGGGCATATTGTCTTTCTCAACATACTTAACCCACATATGCATTTCTTGGGCAATTTTAGACTTTCTCTTACAAATTTGGACTTGGGCTACCGACTAGTTAAAAATTTGGCCCAAAATCTCATTAATAAAGGAGGTCATTTGTTGTGAAAATAAAATGAAACTTATAACAGCAGCAAATACGGTAAGAATGATTTTAAGATACAAAGACTTAGATTGTTATAAAAATTATAGTTTTTCTTTTCCCGTAAAATTCAAAAGCAAAACCCTTTATAATATAAATAATCAAAAATGCTAGGCTTACCACATTTTTCATACCACAATTGTACCACATCTCTAATAGAGGTGAGCCCCATTGTATTGGTGGGCTCCACCTCTATTAGAAATGTGGTACAATTGTGGTATGAAAAATGTGGTAAGCCTAGCATTACTCATAAATAATATATCAAACAAGTTGGAAAGTCTTTTAAGGTAAAGTAAAATTAAATAAACAAATAATAGGAAAATAAAAGTAAAATAAATTAAGATTATGAAAGCAAGCCTGAAATGGTGAAGCATGTCAAAGACGCTGTCCTAAAGCCTTTACTGCCTCCCTATGTGTAGGTACTGTCAGTTTACAAGACTCCAAGATATGACCCCAAATACACAGGCTCCAGGTCGGCTATGAGCATGTTCTTAGTCGAAGATAGGTCTCTAGATCACGGAACCGTTGCCCCAAAATAATAATATAAGTAGAGAAAGTATACAAGGTAGAAAGGGAGAGAATCATATTGTGGTATGTGATATTATGATAGTATATCAAATGTGAAGGAGGAGTAGCCTTTTATAGTCATCTAAGAACATGTAACCTTCACCACATTAAACCAGAAAATTAAGGTATTCAATATAGAAATAATACTTGAAAATTAAATATGTATAACCCCCACAATAAATAAAATAAAACAGCTAAAATAAATAAATAGATCAAAATTTTTAAATTTTTAAAACCTTTTTAAAATTCCAACATTGATTAAGAGACAAATGGAAAACTATTTATTATATCATGCAATGGATAAGTTCTTACGCCAGACAACAGATAGTACAAGAAAATGCTTATCATAGCATGCAACCGAAGAGATGAATGCCCTCGGGAAAAGCAACCAAATAGAGACATTCTATAATCCTTAGTTTTTGGAGAAAGTTAAAGTTTTGAAACTAGTATGAAATTAACCGGAGATAGGTACAAAAGCTCAAATGTAACCTTTCTAGAATGGTTCCATAATCTTGTAGCCAATTAGGCAATGTCTCCAAATTTAATCATACAAGTCAAAATAATCAAATACCTTTTCGGCACCTTAAGAGCCAAGTTATTAAAATCTAGCACATGTTGAGCCTTGAGATGCATCTCTTTACAACATATAGATTGTTAATCCCAACTTGTATAGGAACAAATTTAGTAACCAAATATGAAATTAAAGTGCATTCCAATTTCTCCAAATGGAGTAAGAATTCGGCATCCTGTTCCATTTCCTTGGATAAGTCATTTTGAAATATATACACATATGAATTCCTATGGGGGAGTCGGAGTGACGAAAATTTAGAGACGAGTATTATACATGTGTCGTTGAGATTTCAAATCATGAATGAAGTCAACAAGACCACTATAATATACTCATCAAGTATGATCTTTGCGACATGACCGATATTTGACCAATACTCATCTTCTTTGTTTTGGCACCTTACAGTTAAAGAAAAACTTCTAATCTCCAACTCTCTCATGTGATGAGGAGATTAAAGCCCTCGGGAAAAGCAACCAAATAGGGACATTATATCCTTTTTTTTTTTTTTTTTTTTTTTTTTTTTTTTTTTTTTAGGTTTAGAAAAAAGAAGTTATTTTTTTTTTGGAATTGGAATCATCAGTAACACGAAAAAAGAAAGATACCAGAGAAGCTACAAAATCAAATATACCTTTTAAGAGTGGTTCCATAATCTTGTATTCAATTGGACAAGACCTCCAGTTTTAATCATGCAAGCCGAAATAATCGGAGACCTCGTAAACACCTTAAGAGCCAAGTTACTAAGATCTAGCACCCGTAAGTAAATGAGACGTTAGATCCATCTCTTTATAAAAGATATAATGTTGATCCCAACTTTTATAGGAACATATTTACTATCCAAATATGAAATTAGAATAGTTCTCAATTTCTCCAAATAGAGTAAGAATTCCACATCTTGCTCCATTTCCTCAGAAAGGTCCTTTTGAGACATTGACACCTGTGAATTATCATAGAGGAATCACAAGGGGAAAATTTTTAGAAACAAGTATTATCCATGTGCAATTGAGATTTTTGAATCATGAACAAAGTCAACAAGACCAAGATAATATATTCATGAAGTATGATCTTTTCGACATGGCTGAAGTTGGACCAATACTCATCTTCTTCCTTTTGGCATTTTATATTAAAGAACAACTTATAATTTCCAACTCTCTCTTGTGATGAGGAGATGAATGCTCTCGGAAAAAGCAACCAAATAGAGACATTCTATAATCCTTAATTTTTGGAGCAATATGAAGTTTTGGAACAAGAACGGCAATAACCAGAGATATGAACAAAAGTGCAAACGTAACCTTTTTAAAGTGGTTCCATAATCTTGTAGTCAATTGGGTAACGCCTCCAAATTTAATCATACAAGCCAAAATGATCGAAAACCTTGTAGGCACCTTAAGAGCTAAGTGATAAGATCTAGAACCCTTAAGCAGTTGAGCCTGAACTCGTAAGCAATTAAGCCTTGAAATGCATCTCTTTACAACATAAAACCTGTTTATCCCAACTTTTATAAGAACATATGCACATGTGCAGGGCCCATAAGCAAAGACACCGATTCGTTTTGTGTTGTTACAATGACTTTACTACCATTGGCTGTAAAGTTTAGGAAAGACTTGAAATCAATCCATTTTCCAACCGTAATTCCCATTGGACTATTGTCCCAAACATCATCCAACACCAATAAAAGTTTCTTGTTTTTCAAAGCGTGATACATCTTCATGTGCATCTCTTCAATGTTTTCTCTATTATCTGTGATTCTCTAACCCATTTTGTAGTTTTCCATGACTGAATTTTGAAGTGACTTGCGTACCTTTTGTTTGATGATACCCCTAGACTTGAGCATTTGTAGTTGTAGCTTTCGACATTCAAATTCGTCAAGGACATCATCCATGTTATAGCAAAGATCTTTTAGTTTTACCAACTAGTCAGAGAGCAGAAGATCCTCCCTCTATTTTCTCTCCGCATCCAAGAGAACTTTTGCTATGGTTGATAAGATTTCCTAAAACATACTCATCTTAGACATCTAACGTCAAGAAAACTTCTTGGTAAGCATGGGAAGCAACAAGAACAAGATAATATGCTCATCAAGTATAATTTTTTTTACATGAATGATGTTGGACCAATACTTATCTTTTTCGTTTTGGCATCTTACAGTTAAAGAACAACTTATAATCTCCAAATCTCTCATGTGATGAGGAGATTAAAGCCCTCGGGAAAAGCAACCAAACATGAACATCTATAATCTTTTTTCTTTTCTTT